GCCTCTCTAGGCCTATTAGTTACTATAAGTAAAGAATATAGATAGTTAGAAGTTAAAAAATTAGAAATTAAGGTAAAAGAAGATAAAGTATAAGTAAAATTTAAGTTTAAAAGATTTTTATATTAAGTAGTTAGTTATAAAACTATTATAGTACTAAATTAAAAAAAAATATATCTTTTCTTAATATAATATATTTATAATATTCTTAGTAGCTACTATATTAATATCATTATTAATTAGTATTAGTACTTTATCGGTACTTATTGGTGTTCGCCACTATGTCTCTATGGAAGATAGTAGTACCGCAAAACATACTTTATCCGCTATGGTTCCATCCATGTTTGAACTTTCTGTTTTTCGAGGATCGCGCAACCAAAGCAGGTTTCATCGCAAGGACTCGATTGAATGAACCGCCAACGGCCAGCTATTATATATTACCTTACCATTATATGAGCTGGGTACGTCGAGTAGTCAAGATGGCGGAAGAAACTGGTGCAAAGCGACTCAAGTCGCCGCCGCTGATCGGCACACACAAGTGAGTCCCCATGGCTCACCATTGTCAGAGCAAACTAACAACCGTTGGTCTCGCCAGCGGTCACTTCCATGCCGATGAAGCGCTTGCTGTTTATCTCCTCCGCCTGCTGCCAGCCTACTCCACCTCTCCCGTCATTCGAACACGCGACCCGGGTCAATTAGCTACCTGTCATACTGTTGTTGATGTGGGAGGGGTGTACGACCCTTCACAAAATCGATATGACCACCATCAACGAACTTTTGATACAACGTTCCCTCAGCACCAAACCAAATTGTCTTCTGCAGGGTTAGTATATATGCATTTTGGTAAAGCAATAATAGCCCAGCATATGGGGCTCTCTACCGAGCACCAGGACGTCAGCACCATTTACGAGAAGCTTTACGCAGATTTCATTGAAGCGCTCGATGCTCACGACAACGGAATTTCCGTTTATTGTCCCAAGGCCATCTCCAATGCCGGTCTGGAGAAACGATTCCGAGACGGTGGAATAAACCTGGGTTCGTTGATTGGTGATATGAACCTTTGTGGACCAGGCGAGAACCTTGACGAAGACGCTCTTTTCGCTAGAGCCAGTACCTTCATCGGAGAGGCTTTCTCGAGGAAGCTTCATGCTGCCAGTAGCAAGTGGTTGCCCGCTCGAGCCACAGTTTCACAGGCTCACCAGTCTCGCATGGATGTCCATCCGTCGGGAAAGATAATGCTTCTTGAGAATTCTGGAATTCCATGGAAGGAACATTTGTATCGTCTGGAAGAAGAGGCCGGCAACGTAACCGCAGGAACTGCGGACAATAAAGTCTTCTATGTCATATACCCGGAATCAACCGCCGAGAAATCCAACTGGCGCGTTCAATGCGTTCCCGTTAGTGAGAACAGTTTCGAGTCTAGAAAACCACTGCCAGAGTCATGGCGGGGTGCGCGAGACTCGGAACTTGATAGTATTATATCTAAGGAGATGGAAGAAAAGCAACGAGAAAGGATACCCGAGGGTGCTATTTTTGTCCATGCCAGCGGATTTATTGGCGGACACAAGAACAAGGCAGGAGCTCTTGCTATGGCTGTGGAAAGCCTTCACTAGGTTATTTCAACTCGCCGCCTTAGCAGGATTGGTGATCATTGCTGTCTTAACTAACGTAAAAAGCTAATGCCAATGATATCGACTTCTGTACCCTCATTATGGCCCCAGATAGGCTTTGGTAACCTATATTTTTTTTGATCCTCATTTCTTTATCTAGTGACCTGCACTACCATGTCTATAATATCCAAACCGAAATCCAAGAGGATAAAACTGCATAAATGGTCCAAAAAAAAAAGGTGCTTAAATCATGCAGGATAATTATACTTACTAGGATATCAATTCATACGGATGATCCTACCATCTACCACTGGAGCTATGGCCCGGGTCCATGGCGGTAAATGGTCCTTGCCACCTTTCTCAACGGTCTTAACCCGGTTTGGATCAACTCCCAGCTTTTTCCGCCATTTTCGGAGAACTCTTCGGGCAACTAGTTCTCTGTGATCGGCATCATCTGGAGACAGGGCATGGGATGTGACATAATTACGGGGTCGGAAGAGGGATTCTGAATGGGAGTCAGACTCGGAGTCCAGGGGTGTGTCAGCCCCTATTCGGCCCAGAGTGGCAGCACCAGGCTGCTGATGGACCGGCGCAGCCGTCATTACTGGGCTGGCCCCTTGGGTAGCTCCCGGCTTGGATATATAACGGAAGCTCGTTTCAGGGAGAATATTAGTTGGAGGAGATGTGCTGCTGCTGGCTGGAGGAGTCAGCTCCTCTGATTTCAGCTTCTTGTGGACATCCATCCAGTGCCGGTCCAGACTAGGACTGAGACGATTCCATTTCCCTATGATCTTATTACTTAGGAAGTACTGCCGGAGCATGGTGCTGAGAAGGAGACCATCTTCTTCAGACACAACCTCCTCTGCTTCGCCGCCCTCGCTCCTGGTGAGGAGCGAGGCGAATCCATCCTTCCCCCTGGCCATGTAGCCTCTCGTTGATACGGTGTAAATTCCGTCATCTCGGAGATCCTCATTGTTTAATTTTACCCATAGGATACGGGAGCCAGGTGGTTTGGACATGGAAAAGGCAAACTTAATGTTTGATACCTGGGGGAACCGCCCTTCAAGAGCAGGCAGCTCGCTAACGCCATTCTCCAGTGCCAGCCAAAGGGCCTTGCCCGTAATGCGGAGAACTACCACAGGGTCTTCGAAAGGAAAACAATTGAGGATGTCTTTCACTCTGAGAATCCCAGGAGGGTATATTTGGTCCCCTCGAATGGTCCCAGCAGCCATGATTGCACAGTCCGTATTATGATAACATCGCATCACGTCACATACGAAATTTCCTAGGTTCGATTCTTGGGTGCGGACCGTAATGAACCGACCATCTAGAGGGGTAACTGTGTATCCGATAGGCTTATGAAGCTTCCCCTTGAGGGCTGATGTGAGCTTGTCTACAAGCTTAACAGTCTCGAGGTGTTTCGGAAGATCGCGTGTGATGTCTCGCCGGATGATGTTGAAATCCCAGCCGGAACCAGACTGTTTCCTCCAGGCTTCTATGTAGCTAAGCTGCTTGAAGTCTGTTCCGGAACGCAAAACGTGCGTAGAGTTAATAAAACTGTGACTGTAATAATGATCATGGCCGCCTAGAATGATATCCACCAAGCCAGGAGGGATTTTTTCCGCGAGTTTGTTATCGTTTGGCTCTCTCTGATGAGTGACGGCGATGACTATGTCTGCGCCTTGTTCACGGAGGGCGGGGACCAGCTCTTTCGCTGTTTCTGACGCAGACTTGTATATGAGATTCGGAGGGAGGTAGTTGATAGTAGCAAGCCTATTGGTTACCCCCCATCAGCAGGTTGCCTCTGGCAAAATACAGGGAGATCCAGCGTACCATTCCCTTTCGCCCAAGCCTATGACTCCAACTTTTATTCCGTTTGAAGAGACGAGCATGCAAGTCTTCTGGCAGTTTGCCAGGGGCTCACCCTCGCCCAGGGCCGGGTCAAGCACGTTTGCGAGCAGCCACGGAAACTTGCATTGAGATCTCAGGTGCCTGAACTGTGCAATTCCAAAGTCTAGATCATGGTTCTATCGATATCCATGGACCGTTTAGCAATCGCGATCCAACTGTCATGGCAGAACGTAACTAGTTATTATATATATTGTAGAGGGGAACGTACACCAACACACGCAACATCTGTCCCCACATGGTTAAGAAACGGGACCATGTGCTGGCCCTTCGTGATAGTGCTCTCAAGACTCGGGTTGAAAGCGTCTCCAGAAAAGAAGGTGAGGATTGAGGGCTGTCCGGAGAAGCTGGGATCGGATCGATAATGGTTCACGAGGGTCTGAAACCGCGGGGCACCACCACAGGGATCTGACGAGGAGGCTCTGGGCAAGTTGTCAGTAGAGGATCAAATGGATATTTTCTCTCAGCAAAGGAAGCGCCAACTGTATATCTCACTCGACATGGTAGACGTCGTTGTAGTGCAGGAGCCGCAGGTCGGGAGTACCTCGTCGCCCGCTGTCAAAGGTCGAGGTACCCCCGCTGGCCACTGTCTGCGGCGAATCCCTGGTGTCCTCTGGCATCTCTTCCGTATGTCCCCTTCCTTACTCTGTAACTATATAATCGGCCGCTAGCTGGATATATTTCCTATAAGAATGAGTTGTCTCCTGGGCTTCGACGTTGCTATCTGGTGTTGCTAGGCGTGAGTCAATTCGACCTTAAGTTGAGTTAGTTAATTAGTTAATTCGTTAACTAACTAGTTAGTTAGTTAATTAGTTAGTTAACTTAGTTAGTTAATGAAAACGGGGCTGCCGTGACGTCACCCTTTTCAAAATTTACACACATAACTTATCATCGACCAATGTTCTACATTTTTCAAAACCGTCTTACATCCAGTATCATGCATGATTCTTATAATATACCTATCTCCGAAATATAACTTCTCGAAGATTTACTAGATATAGGAGTAAATATACCCTATGAACAGAATATCTAATATAGCCATGCGGTGCTCGTCCGCCATGATCCGTCAGACGTACTGGCGGCCTTCTTATCTTGGGGGCCAGCAGCTGAGGAGATGTTATAGGATACCATCAGATACGACTACAACGCCTCGCCCTATAGCAACAGATTTGTCTATACTCAAGGCCGCAGCTGCTCCGGTTTTATCACAAGAAACCCCGCGAGTAAGATGGGCAGGGGTATTTGGTGACTTCGCTGTGGGAGCAGAGAATGATTACAGCGTGGTGGATGTAATTATTCTCTACGACTCTGACAAAGTTGGCCCCGACAGATGGCCTCCACAATTACGGGACTTGGATAAGATTCTGCCTGTAGCTTGGGGCCGAAATGCTGTAGTCGAGGAGTTAACTATAAAGAAAGTGCCTCACTTTTGGTGTATCGTTCAATTTTTACAGTCTAGGGTAATTTTTGGATCGGATGATGACCCTATAGTTATGCAAGTACGTCAGGAGTGGCTTGATATTTTGGTAAATGGGGCAATACATTTTAAATCTCTTATACGTGATATAAACGATATTACTACCACTATTCAGGGGAAGTCTCTGGAGGTATAACCAGTGTTCTTCTTTGATCTACAATCTTGATATACTAATTGACTACCTAGATATTATGTTCAGATTCTCAGCTGCGTCAGACAGTCTTACAACGTATCGTGGCCGTGCTCGATACGATCGATAGAGACCTTGTTAATGGGTGTTCATCCAGTCCTTTTAAAGAACTACTTCAGTTCGAGGGGCAACGTGACTACGACCTTATACAAGACAGGATGAAGAGAATTATAAAGGGTAATCGGACCCAATCGAAGTATAGTGTTGACCAGTCAGATCAGTTATGTAGATCTCTCTGGAGACTCGCCACAGCTTCGGGTAGAGGGACGTTGGATAGACTAGGCAAATGGATCGAGAGCCATGTGATAGCAGGCATCGAAGAAGCAGTTGAGCAGCGTGGGCACGTTCAATCGCTAACACCGAAAGAGAGAATACACGTTGAGTACTATTATTATGCTTAGGTATATGGGTGAGCTTTCATCTGCATCCACTGCTTGTTAACTATCTAACTAGACGGGGCATTGTAGTTACCTGGTCTCGAGGCCTGCCCTGTAGCTGTATATCAGGCAGACAGCTAACCCTATCATCCTCCTCCTTACGATCTAACAAAATGCGGGCAAGCTAGGGCAGCCGCCAGGGAGCTCGCAAATCAGCCCGATTCGGCAACTGGCTGGTAATTGATGTTGACAGCATCGATGAAGACATCATGACTTCCGTAGCAGGTGTATGGGCCCAACGAGGCAGTAGCAGCAGGCCAACCCTTGGGATATTTCAAACGACATCTTTGTATTGATAGACAGTTAGCAACACGACGAGTGCCTCTGCACCTAGTTGAATAAGTTAATGAGAATGGATTAAAATACCAGAATCCTCTTTAGAGCTGCCCGTCAGGGCATCATCCATTCCTTGACCATCGCAGCGGATCGGCAGCTTACCTTACAGGTATGTACATCGCAAGAGCACAGCTATGCCATAACTGTAACTCAGTAGCTAAACCCTATGGGTGCTAACCTACCAAAAGTCATCACAAGCGGCGAGAAAGGGTTCTCCAGCCCATGCAGCTGCCTGCTGGTTCGAGAGTTTGACGGATCTCTCGCGAGATGAAGAGCACGGAAGACGTGCTAGAGTAAACCATTCAGCATATTACCAGAAAAAATCGCGATAGAGGAGCAACAGCCTGGTAACTCACGAGCCCCGGTTTCGATGTGGACATACTCGTCGTCGCTAAGCTGCATTATGCCAGACATGGGCGTCGTTGCCGCAGCCTTATCGTGGCTACCGGAGTTTCTTGCAGTTTTGACTAGTTGGAACCCATGCTCGCTGCGGACAGTTTCACTTCTCTATCTTGGTAAAATTAAAGTATCCTGGGCTATCCATGCATGTATATGTATGGCACAGTACACGGGCGAGGGAGTAGGAGAAACGAGAGCCGAGATGTATATGTATCGGGGAGAATGCGGAGAGCCGGGCTGGAGATGACTAATCTCGAATAGGAAAAGAAAGGGAGAGAGGAAGCAATATCGAGGAAGACAAGAGAAAGGATGATTGATGATCATAAAGGCAGCGGTGAAATACCTAGAAGGCAGGGTGATCAACTGGGTGGACATCCCGTTTATTAACTAGTAAGAAAACTGGGGGATGCTGTAGCCTCTTCCAAAAGATAAGAAAAAATACTTTATATATCAGAATACCAAAAACTACCAACATTAACCAGGGGGGCATAATAGGCGTAAGTGAAGTATCACCAGCTTATCGTCTGTCAAAGAACCAGCTGGTACGTTTTGGGCCGGCACTTGTCGAGGAATCCTGTGCCTGGACACCGGACAGGGTGGAATTGGATGGTGCGTCCGCACCACCGCCACCACGAAGTGGTTTCGCTATCCTCGAGCCTCCAAAACCGAAGCCAGCAGAGTCGGAGGAAAGGCCTTTGGTAGAGCCAGCTTTGGCGGCTTCCAGGCGTTCCTTGACGGCCGTGAGCTGCGCTTCGAACCTGTGGGTAGAGGAAGAGAAGGATAGGTTAGCTTCTTTGGTCACGATGTAATTGTGATATTGATTCAAAACACACCTGTGGTTGGCAGCCGTTAGCTTTTCCTGGCTTTCCTGGAGAAGGGTCTCCAGGCTCTCGATTCGTTCATTTCTGGCTATCAACTTCCGCTCGGCAATGGCGACCTCCCGCTTGAGGCTGCCGTTCTGTTCCACCAGTTGGCGTTGTACATGGGTCAACTGCTCGAGATTGCGCTCCAAAAATGCCATCTTCTTCTGCTGGGCACGGTTGTTGGACGACTGCAGGACTTGTTTGTACTGCTCACGGGTCTCATCCAGAGATATTTCAAGTTCAACTACCCGTTCACACCGGTTCTGCAAGTCGCGCATAAGAGATTTCTTCATAATGTCAAAATCAGCAATCTGCTGCTGCAGGGTCTTGCTGTTGATGGTCGCACTTCCTCCTGCACTGGCAGAGGATCCATTGGGCTGAGAGCGCGGTGTAGAGTCGGCGACAGACTGTCTCAGGCGGGTAAGCTCTTCATCTCTGAGAGATAGCTCACGTCTGAGATGCTCCATGGCCATCTTCTCCAGCTCGTTGCCTTCAGAGTATGCCTGGGTGAGTTTTTCCTTGATTTCTGAAATATCCGCCTCCCCAAGATTCTGTTCGAGAAGATCGTCGACTTCTTGCTGAAGCGCAGCTATCTTATCCAACAGCTTTCCGTCAAAAGCCCCGTTGAAGCCTTCTTCACGGCTGGTCATGGCAAGCTCAGCTTGTCTGATTACCCCCTGGGCTTCTACCAAGCTTCCCCGTAACTCAACAAACTCCTCTGGGGAGACCGCTTCGCCTGCAGAGCTGGTTGCATGCAGGCTGTCTACACGCTCGATCAAGTTCCTTATCTTGCGCTCGTTCTCAGAGAACACGTCCACCTTCATGTCAAACCCGGCCATCATCTTAGCCATCCGTTCTGCCTTCTTTTTGTCTTTTTCGTCCAAGGCTGCGCTCGTCTCCTTGGCACGCATGCGCACGTCAAGAAGCTGTTGCTTGAGGTCGTCCAGTTCAGCTGTAAGCTCGGAGTTGGCTTCCTTCAGGGTATCCATGGTGATGGCTTGCTCCTTGCTTTCATATGATACTTTCTCCAGCTGCATGCGCAGCTCGTTGACCTCCGCGTTCAGTTTCTCGTTGTCTTTACCGGTTCGGACAGCATTCTCCTTGAGTATCTTAAGCTCCTCCTTTTTCTCTTGGACTTCCTTCTCTGCGTTGGCGATGTACGTTTCCTTTTCTGCGAGCTGATCCTGCAGTTCGTTCTCTCGCCTCAAAAATTCCTCCCGCTCGTCTCGTTCCAGGACAATACTTGGTGTGCTAGATCGTTCTCCAAATCTCGATTCTGGCCGGCTTGGGGTCTCTGATCGAGACATATCAGACTGCAGTCGGGATGGAGTTCCTGGACGGGGAGTACGGGCATCGGCCTTGAGGTTTCCCACCGTATCTGTCGATCGCAAGGTGGTCCATTTCTCTTTTGAAAGGTTTTCTCCAGTTCGCCAGACTTGCACTTCGTTCTCTAGAGCAGATATGTAGGTTTCGAAAGTAGTTACCTGGCTCTGAGCCTTCTTGAGAAGGTGCTTGAGCTCTGCTGGACTCAATTCCTGGTTAATCTTCGCCTTGTTCTTGATGGCCTTTGCTCGTCCACCGAATCGAAGAGTGCTAAGCGTTTCCGCATCGTTGTAGCTACTAGGAGAGCAGTTAATTATCAGTGTCGTTCGGGAGTTACCCCCCAGACTTTCTTGCAGAATTCTAGTGAGCTTCGAATCTCGGTATGGAATGTGAGTAGATTTGCCGTCAGTGAGAGCGTTGATGACCATGCCCAGTGCACTCAAACTCTTGTTAATTTTCTTCGCTTCTTCGAGGGTCTGTCCACTGGCGCCGGTTTTGCCCACCTTTTCACTGCCAGCAAGATCGACAAGGAAAAGCTGACCGCTCTTGGCCGACCCAGTCTCGACATTCTTCTGAGTGATGGTGATGACAAATATCGAGTGCGAGCGAGACGATTCTTGATTCATATTCGTTGCCGCAACTGCTCTCGAGGTATCACCCCTTCTCATCACCTCAAACACCTCCTGTACACTGGACACGTATATTTCAAGCAAGCCCTTGACGTAGACGCCCCTTGATTTCTCCTCGTGAACGGGTAGGTTATCATTTTGCGGCACCAGCAGGTCTCTTATCCGTTCCATATATATCTCCATGTAACTGACACGCACGGTGTATTCAATGTTGCCAGGGCTGGTCAGGATGCTGGTGAAGATCTGCTCGACGATACGGGGTATGATTCCCTTACCATCGGGGTCATCGATGTCGGATCCCATCATCGTGTATGACTTTCCCGCTCCTGTCTGGCCGTACGCAAACACAGTTCCATTGTATCCATTCATAATATCATCAACAGTCGACCTGATCGAGAAATCAAACACATTTGACTGCTTCGAGTTCATGTCAAATATGCGGTCGAAGGTAAAGGAGCTAGATGCCTCTTTTGACTATATCATCAATACCAGTTTGAGTTAGTTTTATGCGTCTGCTGTTCTTTTTCTTCATTCTCTTCTTGTGTCCATCAAACTTCACCGGCAACAAGGAAAACGTACGTTTATTCTGCATGTCTCTTCGGATTCGAACTCCACGATCGGCTCGCCTCCATTGGCAATTTCTACTTTGTTCTGCGGCCTAAATCGTGCAACAACTATAGCAATCAAACGGCGCAATAGTTAGCCAGCCTGGGCAAGGAGAGGAGCTATCCGGTGATAAGTCGACCACGTACCCTTGATGGTGTTGAAGCCTCCAGAAGCACCGGAACTATTTGTCACCAGCAAACATGTCTGTTAGTTTCCGAACATAGCCATTATCGGTTTATTCCGACCAACTTACGCCATGGTTTGGGCTCTGTTCGGAGGAAGCGTCCTCGGCCCTTGGGTCAGGAGAGGGGACACCTAGCTTGCGAGATAGTGAGCAAGTCCGCCAGCGGGGAGTTTTAAGGAGTAACAGCTAAAATATGGCCAGAAGACAAGATTCCAAAATGCATCAATAAAAAGGGAGAGTAGTGGGTAGGAGTAATATTTATTTGCTCTATTGTCGTTGTTTTCCGTGCTGGCTGACGAAACTGGCTCAATATTTATTTTCCAGGTTCGAAGCGGCCCAAGCGGTTGGCAGAGCGAGAGGGACCCACGTGAGTTTATCGCCCTTGTCAACACACGCGAACAAGCGCTGCCTTAGGCGCCAGACGACGACCAGGGGCAGGCAGCGCGCTTCGCTGGCGAGCAACCCTTAGTATCGTGGAAGGACATCGCCAGCCATCACCATTACTAAAATGGGGGACATGCAAGGTTAACTCGAGGTACGGGAGGATTTGCCCCTGGCTTAGCTAACTAATTCGCCTGTTGCCCCTGGACCCGAGCCAGATAACCAACAGAGCATGGGTTCCTGACATGATTGGCGCAACGAGAGGCGGACACACAGTGAGTTAAACGGGAAAGGGGAATATTTTATACACTCGCTTCTAACTAGCTAACTAAGGTCACGGTAAGGTGTATACCGCCGATAGATGCAAAGCATGGGGTCATTTCAGGTCTCGCAGTAGCCGTTACTCAACCTTCTCCAGTCTCTGGACAACGATGGCCGTGGCAGCACCGCCTCCGTTGCAAATAGCTGCGAGGCCATACTGGCCTGGCTGCAGCTGGTGGAGAAGAGTAGTAAGGATTCGCGAGCCAGAACTTCCAAGCGCGTGGCCAATGGAGATAGCGCCTCCGACAGGGTTGACACAGGCATTCTCAAGACCCAGGATCTATGGGAGTTAGACAAAGTTAGCCACGGTTAACAGTCAAAAGAGAGAGAATTTGAAGAGTGCGAACGGGATACGAACCTTCTCGTTTGCCTTGATGACGGCAGCAAAGGCCTCGTTGAACTCCCAGACGGAGATCTGGTCCTTAGTTAGGCCTGCCCGACTTAGGGCAATTGGGACGGCCTTGGCTGGGGCAACAGGGAAGTCGACTGGGTCAATTGCGGCATCTGCGTGGGAAACAATACGGGCAAGTACACGATTGCCGGAGCCGTACTCACGGGCGAGAGCTTCGTTTGTGATGACAAGAGCAGATGCACCGTCGTTAAAGGTCGAGGCGTTTCCGGCGGTAATAGTTCCGGTACCGTCCCGGACGAAGGCGGGTTTCAGGCTGCGTATTTTATCAGCGCGGAGGTCCTCGAACCCTTCGTCCCTGTTGACGACAACTTCGCCCTTCTTCGTTTTGATTGTGACAGGAGTAATCTCATCGTCAAATTTGTTCTCCTTCCACGCGGCTTGCGCACGTTCATAGGACTGGATGGCATAGGCGTCCTGCTCCTCCCTTGTGATATTGTGCTTCTTTGCCGTGTTCTCAGCACAGACACCCATATGGAATTGGTTATAGACGTCCCACAGTCCGTCTTTAACCAACCCGTCCTCCAGCTTCATGTCTCCGAAGGGGGCTTGCTGGCTGGCGCGGGGTAGGTAATAAGGCACACGGGACATATTCTCCATTCCGCCGGCGACCTGAGCTTCAGCAAGGCCAAGCTGGATGTTCTGTGCCGCCATGACGACCGCCTTCATGCCCGAGGCGCATACTTTGTTGATGGTGACAGCTTCAACCGTTGTGGGAAGGCCGGCGAAGATTGAAGCCTGTCGGGCAGGGGCCTGACCGACGGAGCCCTGGAGCACATTTCCCATGTAGACATCAGTGATTTTCTCGACAGGAACCTTGGACTTGCTGATGGCTGCCTTTATGGCTTCAGCACCAAGCTTCGGTGCCGGGACCGTGGTGAACGGGCCGTTGAACTGTCCTCCCCATTCATTGGTTAGACCAACATCTCAAAGAAATATGAGTGTATTCGTACACGTTCTATGGACTCACCTTTGCAGTTGGCGTCCTAGCAGCGCCGAGAATATATGCATCCTGAATTTCTCGTCGAAGTGCGCCGGATGTGCTGAAATGTCGCTGGACTTGTCCAAGTCGTTGCGCCGAGCCGCGGCTGGCAAGGCTGGCCAGTCTGGAAGTATGCATCATTCTTAGTCTTGAAAGGTGCAGAATGGCGGAGCGAAGGGAGACGCAGCAGCACTCCACAAAACTCCTGTATATGTATATCTGTCTCGAGCAAGCAGGCTTTGATGCTGTCAAAGATGAATCTGAATCTTCTTCTGTTTCTGCTTCGTCGTCCTCCCTCTTTTTTTTGCCGCGAGGGAGCACCTCGGGAGTTTCTTTTTGGTCCGAGCTCCCTCTCTCCTGCCGAAACTACCCGCGATCACGTGCAAAATTCTTCGGCTGTTCGGCACCGCCAACCGAGATGACTCAGCATCCATAACTATCACGAGACTTCGGGTCAGCCATCCCGTCCGTCAAGTCTGCATATGTTGCACATTTTACCTGTCCTCATATTGTTAACGGCCTCCGAGTTCTGAGACGCTCAAGTCCTCTGCCGAAGTAATTTATTCTGGCCTCCTTGATTAGGGATTAGGGAAACCTCAGAATACCATAATTTGCCAGCATGGTATAGAGATGGCGTCCTCCAAATCAGGAATATAATAGCTGCACATTCTCCTGGTAGCTCTCTCGCGATTTTTCACGATAATTGCGGAGGGTCAAGAGGAACACGCTAAGGAAACGGAAAAGCGGCTACTTCAATTATTAACGGCTCTATAGACCAATCCTATTTGTTTCGAGCTACCCTCTCGAAGGAAACCTCCTTGATGATATTGTATGGCTTCTCTCAGAAGTTAGGTTTGAAGAATTTGAAGTTTAAGAGCAATCCGCGATGCGGAGCTCGACGAGCAGCATCGTGAACTCGGGAGAGTATCGAAAACATTTTGACGCAATGTTAAAGAGAGAACTTGATGAGCTGTGTATAAATATCCCAGGATTCTACAAGGCCTTTTTTCAAGGCATCGAATGGCTGCGGCCGCCAGGGCTGTATTTGAAAGATGTTCGGAAGGGAAGGATCCCCTTTACAGCAACGAGTCTGGCTGGAGAGAATGGTCGCGTGAAGGAAGAAGATATACTAAGCTGATTCCAATGGACAATGGGCGAATTCGTTCGCCTATATAAGGAGGAGTATGCACCAGACCAGACACAAGTACGACAAGCAATCTCACGCCTGGTTCGAGCTGCGACGGTATATGACGGAGATGATAATCGCCCAAGACCGTCGCCTGATTTGTAAAAGTGGTAGCTTATGTGCTTGTTGACGTTTCCACCACACCTTTAATCACTTGAAGATACCACGAAATCTGTTTCAAGCCCGACGTGAACCATTTTTGTTATTCTTATTCGGCAGCCAGGCCAAGGGGATCACTGGATCAAACCCCGTGCTCTGCTCGGTATGGCAACTCCGCAGGCCTTCCTTGACATCTTGCCACATCCACCAGAGCTTCATCCAATGAAGAAGCTTTAGAGCTTTTGAGATGATCGGGACAATCCAATTTTTGTCTCTTTTCACTATAAAGACATCAACCAAAGCGTAAGGAGGATTTCAAAAATGAAAGTTAAAGTGGGTAATACAACCTAGTCTTATTATAGGCGATATAATATCAGTAAAAGCTCATAAACCGGGAGACTAGATAATTATAATGAGGCTAAATGACTGGAAGCTGTTTAATAATGCCATTCTTCTTCTCAGCAACATACAGATGCTGGTTTCCTGGCGCAGTTGCGAAGTAAAGAGATTGTCTGATGCCATCACCAGAGAGTCTAGTGGCACCAGCAGTTGCTGGTGTGACAATACCTGCCTCTAAAATCCAGTCAGACACAGCATTGCCTTGCAAATCCAGTAGCTGTATCTCAACGGAGATTTGCCGTCGCCTGAGTGTTCCACCAGCCGTTGTTATTAGGACATCAGCGCCATATCCCATGTAGGTTGGAGGGATGCCCAAGGCTGTTATATCCGTATCAAAGACTGTCAAGGTATTACTTCCAGTATCGTTGAGTATTGTGACATCGATCGAGATAGCAGGAGATAAGAGACCCGGAACTGGCCTAACTCGTGCAAATATCTGCCTGGTTTAATGGTATGTATCAATGTGTATGGCTGAGTAAATCCTTACTAGAAACCTAGAATACTAACCTCATGCCCAGGGGCTTGGCCTGATGGGTAGTGATTTTATCTCGTGCGGTGGGCGAGTTGCTAGTTCAAAGGCTGGAGGGGGTATGAATGTAAGCCAGGAGGTCGGCCTCACAAGAATGTACTAGACAGAAATGCGTACGCTCTCAGACATAGGCTGAGAAGCCTGGCTCGGAACCATAGCCTGTGAGGATAGCTGCTGGCCATAACCCTATAAGAGTAAGCACAGAATCGTTTTGCGAGAATGGATGTGAAGAAAAGTACCTCGACCCAATATGGTCGCTTGAAATCAATATTCTTATGGGGAACAACTTTGCCATCCTGGATCCATTTGAATGGTCCTGGGAGTTTATTTTCACGATACAGGTTGATAGCAGTTTGGAGGTTTTTTTTCTGGGGCTCACTTGTGGTAGGATCATCAATCATGGTCTGTAGCTCCGTGATACGTCCTGATACATCCCACTGAATGGGGTGCGGACATGCAGGCAGTGGGTTGAAGGGGCGGGTCGACATGGCTTGCGAAGTGCAGTGAAAATAATGACCTGAGGCGGGGGTTGAGTTGCGAGGATGGTGGGCTGCCTTTTATTTTGTGTCAAAGTCTGCCGCTACACCAAAAGGAGTGAGCCCACACTAATGGTAGGCAGAGCTGAAGTTTGACAGTATGCTTTTTCTTGAAACTCAACAAGCGCTTGCATTGCAACTGGTTGCCAATGACTCAGCTCCACGCTCCGCCGCATGCCTGCGATTCGTGGTTTCGAATAGTTGATGCCCAGAGTGTCACAGGAGTCGCGATAGTTCTCTCGCTGAAAGGATATATTGTCGAGCCACTTTTTGTTGCTCTGTAAAAACTGCTAGTTCCCCTGGATTGTCCTCTATCAAAAATGTTACCTTACCTGAACCTCGGAGGCTTCAACATCGGCAGCCTCAAGCTCCTTGTGCCACAAAAACGCATTCAGGCTATCGTCGTGTTTTGAATTGTCGTCGCAGGGTGTCTCTTGGCTCATACCGAATGATTCACAGCTACTTTTTGCCTTAGCCAGAGCTTTCTCAACAAACGCCGACTGCCACCATGGGTCAGACATGTCCATCCTGTCGGACTTGCGTACTAGTGTTTTAAGGGGCTGGACATCGGTTAACCAGTCGGGCTCGCTTTGAGAGTTCTCCGCCCTTCGTTTACGGCTTGCCTGAGCCTTTGGATATTTGGTAGCTGTTGCCCGTTTCTGACGGCTGGGAGTGAATGAGTACTCCTCCCTTTGAAGAACGTACCATAGCAGTGTATCAACGCTCTGAGTGGATATGTTGTGTTCGAAAAAATAACCCCTCTGCGGTCCGCACGGTCAAAAGAAACTAGGCGTGCCAGTCTTGACGAGCTCACTTGCTGGTGTCGTGAAATGAAAGGAATACTTCATCTAGTCGGCTTCTCCTCTCTGGATCGCCTCCCGCACGTCGTGGAGAGACGATCCCCTTACGCGCTGCTTAGCGCTCTTCGCCGCCAGTTGTCTCTCTAGGCCTAAGGCATGCTGTCAAAGTCTGCCGCTACACTAAAATAAGTAAGCCCATACTAATAGTAGCTTTATGACTATATATAACTATTATAATTATAGTAGATTCTACCTATAAGTCTAGGTATCTCCCTCCTTAAGAAGATAATCTAAGCTATTATCTAGTTATAAGACTTCTACTATATAGATATTACTACTAGTTTATTTTAGATTAGTACTATATATTTCCTTATATAGGGTCTTATTAGAGGTAAAAAGGTACTTCTTTTCTTTTCTCTTTACTCTTTTACTCTTATAACTATAGAGTAGTTACCTCTCTCTCTATGGAGTATACTTCTTACTTTATAGACTTACTTCTCTCCTTACCTTTACTTCTTCTTACTATACCTCCTTTTCCCCCCTCTTCTCTCTCTCCTTTCTTTACTCTATAAGAATAACAAGTACTCCCTCTAATCCCCTTACCCTCCCTGACCCTCCCCCTAAGGCCGAACCCTAACCCTACCCTAAGACTTATTAAAAGAAAGGAGGAGGTAAAAGGGAATATAAGGTGTAGTAAGTAAAGAGGGAGTAAGGAGAGTAAAGTAAATTAGGTGTAGTGTCCACAGCTCAGCCCCTTAGGTTAGGTACCTCTAAGGCGCTGTCACGAGACTTCGGATATTTATTTTTCCTATAATTAGTCACTCCTGCTTAGTCATTGGATTAGTCATACCAGAACGGCGGAAAAAGCAACGAAAGAGAAAAAGGAAGGCGGAAGAACGAGCAGAGAACTAAAACATCCACCAACTGCAGGAGAAAAGACACCATAAAAATCGTCAAGGAGAACAGAAAAGGGAAAAGGAAGAGAAGGGCTTGCGCGGCTATTGAGATAACCAGCAGGGCAGCTCCTCACCCCGCAAAATAGAGATTGCTTTCTTCAAGCCCGATCAGCGAGGGAACCACCAACAGGACAGGGTACCGCCACTATCACAATAGCCGCCAGGGTTGTTCGTCCAGTCTATCTATCTGTCTCGATATCTCCCTCCCCGCCATGTCGACCTCAGCTCGCCGTCGCCTCATGAGGGACTTCAAGGTATGTTGTCGCAGCTACCACTACAAGCAGTTCCTGTCTGCTACGAGGGCTTTCACTAACCGTGGCTTTGTTGTAGCGGATGCAAACCGACCCTCCCGCCGGCGTCTCCGCATCTCCTATCGCCGATAATGTCATGACTTGGTACTCAAGCTGTGCCCAGCCGTATTGTTACTGTATGGCCGGAAGCGTGCTAATACTTATGTCTAGGAATGCTGTTATCATTGGGCCTGCCGACACACCATTTGAAGATGGAACTTTCCGCCTCGTGATGCATTTTGAGGAGCAGTATCCGAACAAGCCCCCAGGCGTCAAGTTCGTCAGCCAGATGTTCCATCCAAACGTTTACGGCACCGGAGAGTTGTGTCTAGACATCCTGCAGAACCGCTGGAGCCCAACTTACGATGTTGCTGCCATCTTAACTAGTATCCAGAGGTAAGGGATTCTCGAACCTACCATTAGCCAGGGTAACCTACTAAACCGGGCGGCTTACCAAAATAGTTTATTGAATGATCCCAACACGTCATCCCCTGCCAACGTCGAAGCCTCTAATCTCTATAAGGATAACCGCCGAGAGTACACCAAACGTGTTCGTGAGACCGTTGAGAAGAGCTGGGAGGACTAATCTATGTCTTCCTCGCCTCACAGCTGTTTGAACGAAGTTCTTGATTAATATAACGCCGCTGCCCTACCGCCAATCATTCCTATGATTCTACGACTCACCGCTTCCCAATCCCACCATTATCTCCTTCTCTTTCGATATTTTTGTTCGCCATGCACAGCGTTGGGGTTATGGCGTTGAGTGCTTTCTATGTTACATACCCAGATCACCTTACAGACCTCAATATATGCCCTTATTAAACTTTGCAGCTATATGCAAATCATACTGCATTTTTCGATAAATGCCCGTTCGTAAGACATAGGATTGGTAGTTTTCATCAAGCAATAATTAACTCGGGAAATCATAACATTGGTAGATTAGATACATGACTACCAACTGGTTTAGTGTACACCCATATCAAACATATTAACTGCAGTATGTAAGGAAGGATGTTCATCCGACCACGTGTTGAGTAAGTACCTCCCATTACTATTTACCTCCACCACACCAACATTTGCCATCCCCTTCTCTTTCGACTTGGATCAAAACGTCCATCCCTTTCTCGCTCAAGTAATCGGCCACACGGGTATGGACATCTGACAAATCTGAGTTTTTCGAAGCAATAATGTGTATGACCCCGAGGACGCGTCTATTGCCATGGTCGTCGACAGGCCCATGGCTGTGGCTGTGACTGCCACACTTCGTATGACTGTGGGCATGATTGTGGGTGTGGGAGTGATTATCAGAGTGGGAGTTGTAGCTATGATGTGAAGAGCAATGGCTTCCCCCACGATTATGCTGATGGCTGTTATGTGTATGTGTATGGGTATGGCCATGGTCATGGTCATGGCTATGACTGTGACTATGATGTTTGTGGTTATGGTCGTGGACGGTATCATCGAGCCAGAATTTTGGCACGGTATATCCAACTACCCCCCGCATGACACTAACCCCAGCAAGAGTATCCCGAAGACTATACTCAACGTCTGCTGGCAATGCGAGAAGCAGGGTCTTCGAGGTGCTGATAACAAGAGGTATAGCTGAGACAAATATCAGAATCGCTATCAAGCACGACGCAATCGGATCGAACCCAGACCACCCGAAAAAGTGCACTAGTATAGTGGACAAAACAACCGCCACTGATCCAAGTGCATCAGCAAGTATGTGTAAGAATATACCGTGCATATTTTCATTCCCGTGTCCGTGGTCATGATCGTGTCCAGCATGGCCATGGCCATGATGCGCATGGTCAAATGCAAATATCCCAACCATATTAACAACCAAGCCAAGCGAGCTTACAACAAAGAGGTCGCCAATCCTATGCACTTCGCTGCCTGACATCAACCGTTCCACGGCCTCGTATATTATCTCAACGCTAATAATCCTGTGGGATTGTCAGCAACTTGTCCATGGCGTGGTATATTTCAAGAAGGATGCACTTACATCAGAAACACACCGTTTCCAAAACCTGCAAGCGTATCAATTTTGCCGTAGCCATATGGAAAACGAGAGCTCGGCGGCCACTTGCTCATGACAGCGGCCGCTAGGCCAACAGCGAGAGCAAAACAGTCGAACAACATGTGAATACTGTCGCTCAGCAGTCCTAGAGAGCCCGTGACGACACCATAGGTCAACTGGACCACCATAAACGTTAGGTTCAGGCTATATACTAGGGTTAGCAAGATAATATGCCCAAAGTCCAGCACAAATAAGAATGGAACGACTCACTTCATAAAATAGAAAATACGGCGTGAATCCCTTTCCTTCAGGATAGCGTGTATAAAAGGCCACTGTTCGCACGCCCCTAAAAGCCATATAGTCATTCGAGAGGGTTTCTTTTCCATCTTTGCCTGCGAGTGATTGTCGTTATGTACCATCTTGCTGTCGGCGAAGGATGCGAGACAAGCGAGCCCAAACCTAGTAGCTTGTAAGGGTATAATATGTGTTTGAGATGTTACAAACGTAGCTATGATGACAACAATGGCGCCTGACGCAATGGTAGGCAGACTCGGCCTGCCAGTAGCATCAATACCGTATATCAATTGGGATGTTGCTGTGAATAACCCAACAACAAAGATAGGAAGGAATGATAGAGATACTGCACTGAAACCACCCGAGAACAAGACAACAAATAAGATCAACGCCCCAAGCACTGTGCCGATAACGAGGTTCACAGTAGCTGTATCGTCGATATTATCCTTCCTTGAAGCGAACTTTTCATCCACAGCGGTATCGGTGAGTGTCAAGAGAGAACCGGGGGACGGAAGCAATATAGTAGCAGCAATGGCCGTGTACCCTTTGAATACCTCTAGAGGTTGAGAAGAGGATATATAGGCCATATCCAAGACAGCAATGGCGACAATAAACAATACCGATACCTTCCTGCGTTTAAGAGTCCGTATTGTTCTAGTCAACGTATTCCCACTAGAGCCAGTCCTCGAATCCGTGAAAATGTTCAATAGCAACACGGCAATTACGACATCAAATCCGATCATGAAAGAAGCATAAAGGGGCAGGATCATCCATATTGCGGTTCTCATCCCGTCGTAAAGACTCGAGCGATTCGACTGAAACCCATCCGTAGGTCCAGCATTTCCATTCACACGCCCCTGGCGTATCTTCTCGTATATACCATGTACTAGTAGAGCAACAGATACATATGCACAGGATACTACTAGCGGGATGCCAGCAGATCGAAGAGAATGCGACGTCTTCGTACTCTGGGTTTCGGATTTGGCAGTGCCCAAGCGGATGGGCCCTGCAAGGAGATAGGACATCACGAACGGCATGGCAGTAAGAAGACCAGAAATTATCTGTTGTCCAAGCCCTTGGGGACTGTGGGAGTGATCAGTTAGATGGCTTCCCACGATAAAAGATACTATAGTAGGAAATGGTTTTGAATGCGCACACTAACCTGGCCGAATGTGGTACACGCTGCTTCTGAGTGGTTTGCATATGTACATTACTGCTGGTGGCATGTCCAAACGAAAGCTCATCTTGGGAGGCAGTATATCCATGCCCATGATATTCATCCCAGCTTGCTCCGCCATTCAAAGTGTTCATCAAGCCGGGGCCTTGCTTGTCAAGGTATTGAGTAGAGACCTCCTCTTTGGCAAGGTTAGAAGAGTAAACAGGTGCATGGGCATCTTGTGGTGATATTACGCCTCCTGTGTACGGCAACGTCTGTGGTAGGGCATGGTTGACTGAGTTGCCATGATTCCTCTTATGGCCGCGTCCACGATGGGACTTCCCGCCACGGGCGCCATTCATGGCCTGCGAAATCAGTGGGGCCGACATTCCCCATTATCTCATAAGCTTGTTCAATCGAGATACCTAGGCCATCGCCGCATCCAGCGCGATAAGTCCGTTCAATGGATTGTCAAGAGTCGGTAGGGACTTGCTCGGCTGGCTGGTCTCGCTCCTGGCGTGAGAGTAAGTGAGTCGGCAGCAGCGTATCTCGGCTGTCAACGGAGACAAGGTATCGGCGTTAGCAATCAGTTAAATAAATTGCCTCAGGAACCTCCTCGTCGCTGTGACTGTCTTCGCTGTCGTCGTCCAGCAAAGCGAAGTGGCCACTATCAACTTCGCCCGATCAGGGGGTTTTTGGGGGTCGCAGATTTAGGGTTTATCAATCCGTTATGTCAGCATAAGAAGCTTATTTACCCGCCTCACGCCTTACCCAAAATAGCTTAGTGCATCCATATCGGAATATAGTTTGTACGAACCGGCTTATATAATCGTCTATGGTTCCATTCCGTCCTGCAAAAAGCAGCTACTTGCCTGAACGAACTACATCAACCTCTTTCGACGAGGCCGACGACATCCCAATTGATAACAGCAACCGGGCTACATTAAATGGAGAGAAATCCGAATAGAGGACCATGACTCTGGTGCTGCTACTATCCATTTTTGCCATCTGCTTTTCTTCAGTAGCATTTATCCAGCTGCTGCCCACACGGCGTGAGAAGAAATCTTCCGAGGCCCACGATGCAGTGTCAGTTCAGATCGTAGTTCTAGGGGATATAGGGCATAGCCCGCGGATGCAGTGCCATGCACTTAGCATTGCACGGCATGGTGGTCGAGTCACTGTTATAGGATACCATAGTATGCTTACTCCGGCCGCCCCGTTCGAGTTCCAATTCGCCAACACTTAACCGTGTTGCAGATTCTACTCCAAACCAGGAACTTCTGGATCATCCCCTTATATCAATTGTGGCCCTCCCATCCCCCCCAGCTCTTCTACAGACCAAGAAGAAATTCTTGTTTCCTGTTGCTGCGATCCTCAAGGTCTTGCAACAAGCATGGCACCTCTGGGCTGCGCTAGGCTATCGTACAGGCCCTGCCCATTGGATACTAGTCCAGGTAAGCCATTCCAGTAACGAACATCCCGTTTATCTGTCACCGCCCTTTACTTGTCTCTTTGCTATCATTGTTGAATGAATCGCAGTCTTGAGACAAGGAATGAGCCTGCTAAGAACTTGTCTATAAACCTTGGGACAATGGCCACAGAATCCACCAGCAGCACCAACTCTTGCTCTCGCGCTACTTGCCTGCCACCTCCGGCATAGTCGTCTCATTATTGACTGGCATAATTTTGGGTATTCCATCCTTGCATTGAAGCTTGGGTCCGGCCATCCCATGGTCAAACTTATGGAATGGTATGAGAAAGCTTTCTCTTGTTATGCTACTGCCCACTTTTGTGTCAGCAATGCCATGGCGCGGATCTTGCGGGAGCAATTCGAGATTAAAAAGCCTCTTATGGTACTTCACGATCGGCCTTCTTCAGCCTTCAGCCCGATCTTTGATGAGAAGCAACGTCTTGCAATTTTGTCTTCAATTCCTGAGACAAGTCAAAGTGCCATAGATATTATCGAGGGCCGGTGTCGACTCCTTGTTAGTTCTACGTCCTGGACACCTGACGAAGATTTTTCTCTTTTACTCGATGCCCTCTGTCGCTACTCTACATCGGCGAAGTCCTCAGGTCTCCCTTCGGTCCCTCTTCTTGTTATTATCACCGGAAAGGGGCCCCTAAAGGACATGTACCTCTCCCAGATAGACAAGCTAAAAGCTGAAGGAAAACTCTTCAATGTATTTATAAAAACAGCCTGGCTCTCCTTCGAGGATTATGCACAATTGCTTGCATGTGCCACATTGGGGGTCTGTCTGCATACAAGTAGCAGCGGTGTTGATCTTCCAATGAAGGTTGTTGATATGTTTGGTGCTGGCCTCCCAGTTGTTGGCTGGGATCAATACGAAGCCTGGCCTGAACTTGTCACCGAAGGGGTCACTGGGCTAGGATTTGATAGTGCAGATAGACTATCGGGACTTCTCAAGAGCGTACTTGGCGGTGATGGAAGCGCTCTAAAGGTGCTCCGAGAGGGAGCGGTTAAGGAGAGTAGAAATCGCTGGGATCAGACATGGGACCCCATTGCTGGGACTTTTCTTGGCCTGGTCACCTAGCCCAGCCTCTAGATATACATTGGGTCAGATTTTCAATATCTATAAAATATACAGAGAGCCAATAAGGTCGTCTTTGCACAACGAACCGGGCTGTATTTGCGGCAATCTGAATGCTATCAGTATATAGGATGGTTCACTCCGATACTATAACTTGCCCAGTACTTCTCTGTTTAGACCAGTAGGACATGGCACTCGTAACTAAATGATAGACGGGCACCGTTGAGTATAGAGCCCTAACCAAACTTCCGACTTGTAGTTATGTACGCTCAACTATTTAGGTGGTTAATGTGCTTAGATAACTAAGTAGTTAGTTAATATTTCAACCAGTCAACTTCATTTAAAAAAAACTAGTTAACCGCACCGTTTAACTACATGGATGTTTTTAAATTTCTAAATCATCCAACACAATCATGCTAGAACCTCTAGAGCTTCGATCGTATCCATCCTGCGACAACTGTCTGTCGTGGTCAGCAGATGGCGAAATTGCTGTTGCCAGTGGGGAAATTGTCTATGTCCTGGTTTGTTGCGCATCTTCATGAAGCTCAACCATTCCAAGTCTAACTGATACAATCAATAAACAGTCCCCCAAGCCAAATAGAGAAGAGAAGCAGCAGGATCAGGCCGCTCAAAGGTCAAGTGGTGCGCAATGGGACATATCCAAACTCAAAACCAATGCTTTCACACTGGATGAGCTGCCTCTTCTGCTCCCGGAGCCTGGTGCCACCTTTTCTATCGGCGAGGAGCAATCTATGAGCCCTGCGATCGCTGTAGCCTGGTCCGCTCCCCGTCTGGCTGCATATGGAAAATGCATGCTAGCTGTATTAACTAGTAACCTAGCCTTATCTCTCTGGCAGGCGGTGGACGGTGCTTCCAAATGGAACAGAGCACTTGTTGTTAACCACGCGCTCAGGAAGTATTTCAAGACCCTCACGGGTGATAATGGCCCTCTGTTACGGAGAAAACAAAGGATTAGGGCGTTTTCCTGGAATTATTTCGCCCTGAATAAGTTCAACGATCCAGACTCTTGCCATAATAGTGGCATAAATTTCCTCGTCGTCAGCAATGATACCAATGACATAGTGATTCTTAGGGTTACTGCACCCTCATATGGACAGAGTGCCAGTGCAGTTGTTCTTACTCATTACTCTGCATCTTCTGAAGGCATCTGCCTTTCTCGGTCTATAGAACAAGGCTCTATGTTCTCAGGATACACGGCAAAAAGGGCTACAATAACACGTGTTTCCTCAAGCACTTGGCTGAATAAACCAATGCTAGGTGACCATGGAGCTGCAGATTTACGTATCTGGTCCTCTCTAATTGCCTTTATGTTTGGATCTGAGTTGGCTATTCTACGCCTGGATCTTGACACTATTTCCATGAACACTGAGATTACGATCAAACGAATTGAGCTGCTTAACCTGGAGTGGACCCTTGACTATACAACGACCGACCGTGATATAAAGGGTCCATTACACTGGATAGAAACTGCAGTAGGTTCCTTGTTCCTTCAGCCACTGTATTACCATATCACTAATTCGCGTTGGCTCAGGAGACCAGCCACAATCTTGGGTTAGCAGCTGGTATAATATGTGGATTTGTTATTTTGACAATTCCCAAGAATATATGGTCGGAAAGTATTCTTAGGGTAGACATTCACGAAGAAAAATTCGACGCTTCACTTGCAAAATGGCATCCGATTTCAGGTATGGACATCAATATTTCCTAGTCCCTCCTGTTAAGTCGTATTCTAACCAAAAGCAGGCTTTACTTCTCGAGTGGGGGATACAAGTAATAGCAGTGACCTCTATATCTTGACATTATCCTCCTTGCATCAACTTGAGTTTCCCAGCATGAGAAGCAAGAAACAACCATTATCAAATGGCAACGAATTTTCACAAGACGATTATCTGAGAAGAAACGTTGAAGGTTGCAGGGATCGATTCGATCTAGATTATGACTTAGGTGGTATGTCAACAGCGAAGACTTGGGGCCTATGCAGCCATCGTGGATGGATAGCCACCTGCGCGACCTTTCATCCTACGGATATGGTACAGCACACTACTTCTTCTCAGGAAAGGACAACAATATTCTTTGCCCCTCCAAGCCTAGAAAGATCCGACCACACCGAACCAGGACTACCATGGCATATGCCGGCCATTACACCTACCAGCATACAGCACTCCGCAGGCAAGGTTATAGCTTTCACTTTGGCGAATAAGCAGCCACAATCTCCGGACGACCTATGGTTGCGAAAGCTACTATATGCGGCTGCTTGCTCTACGGTATTTCATTCGGCCTTGGAATCATCTTCTCTTGCAAAGGAAGTACTACAAGATTTAGCCCGCGAGTCTAGCATAGACCTAGGTTTAGAAATATCCATGCTAGAGGATCTCGCAGAAGGATCGGACAAACTGAAAGCTGTTACAATACCACCGAAATCAACAGAGCAACTCGAAAGCAACGGAGCAGGCGTATACGAACAGTGCGATATCTGTGGCGGCGGGATTGAATGGTTTTCTCCAGTAGAGTCACAATGTGTGGGAGGTCACTTATTTGGTATGTAATGAATCCTTATATCTGTATCCATGCATCCTGATGACTTTAGTTGGGTCCAGTGTTAATAAATATTGATGTATAGCTCGGTGTGCGTTGACATTCTTGTCCATCCAGAACCCATCCATTTCAAAGAGATGCTGTAGATGTGGAAGGGAGTGCCTGGATAACACTAGTGAAGCGATGGGTATCGAAGGTACCAAAGGGCTACTGGCAAAACTCCTTGAACGGTTTGATGAATGCCCTTACTGTGGAGGCAAGTTTAAGGCATAATCACCTCCCCCCCCCCCCCCCCCCAGGGTTTACTAAGAGTACAGTTGGGGAAGATGGGATAAAACGATCAGAGTAATAAGAAGTTTTGATATAACACCCGAGATTCAAAACCATCTAAAATATCAAACAAAGCAAGGCACTTTTATATCCAGATAAATGCCTAAATCTATACAGGGACATGCACAGTATAATATAATTCAGCTGGCGATGGAAGTATGAAGACACAAAAAACGCCAAAATTAGCACCACGAGGGCTATCATATCATAGGTTATCATCCACTCCAGGAATAAAGGATGGAAGGGGTATATCAGAGGCCAGGTCCTCTACAGCCATATACAAGGTCGAAACTCTTAAGGAGCAATGCAATTAATCAAACAACTTCGTCATTGCCTTATGAGCTAATTCAACACCGAGGCTGCAACACAGGAATATCAGCAAAGGTCCATAATGTAATAAATGGGGCATGGATGTTTCTTACAAAGTTGCTGCATTGGCAGGGACTGCTCTTGCAAGAGCAGGACCAAACCCAGGGAAGAATGCCTTGTAGCCGCCGCTCGCATAAATACTTCTAATAGTGCCGCCGATAGTCGGTTTTCCGGGAGCACTTTGCAGCCGTGATTTGACGGTATCAACAGGGAAAACAGGTATCCACATCGCAATTCCGGCAGCTCCTCCAGCAGTAAGGATGGCAGGCAGAGATAGCTCTCCTGTGACATTGCCATCTGCATCCTTGGGGGTTAAGCTTCGCTTAACATATTCATACATAGCAAAGTAAGCAGCAGATCCGGGACCGTCGCGGGCGAGCGTCATGGCACTCCCCCGGAAGACACTGCGGATTCCACCCTCCTTGTATAGCTGTCGAACAACGTCAAGTCCACCGCTGTACTTTGGTTTTTGGCCAGCAGGTGGTGGGTGTTGTCCTTGAATCTGAAGCAGCACCTTGACTCGCTCAAAAGGGGCCGTAATCAAGGTCATAGGAATCGCAGAGAAGAAGCCGGCAGCAGATATCTGGGCAATGGTGAATTGAGGGGTGTTGTTGCGAACAGGGACGTCTGAAAAGGTGCGAACAAGGGTCTTCCCTAGATCATACCCCTATTGTACACCGTCAGATTGTCAGAACGACACGAAAATAGGGCAAAGCGAACAAGGCGGCGGGCACATACCCAAAAGCTAACAGCAACTACAGAATACGTTACGTGTTAGTTGCAAGCAAGAATAATCTGAAAGAGGGCTGAAGAAGCACGTACACATTGGAGTGACTCCAACTAGGGGAGCAGAGACACCGGCATATAGTCCCTAGACAGCAGAGAGAATCAGTAACCAGAACAAGGCAACACGAATATGCAATTAAAAAAAAGGGAGGGAGTTACTCACTCTTGCTACACCCTCCCGGGCGATAGTCTTCTTAACTACATCTATGGCACCGGTGTAGACACCTCGCTCTGCGGTCTGGAGTCGCACTTTCACCAGGTCAAAGGGATGGCCAACCACAACGGCACAGACACCACCAACACCACCAGCTACAAACGAGCGGACTTGTGCAAGCGTAGTGTTCGCTGTGGTTGAGGGAGCTTCTGCTTCCTTTTGTGCCGGGACGGGCGCAGCGGGGACTTTGGATGCCATGCTCGAGGTATAACGGTGTAGCTAGACAACAGTATGCAGTCTATTGGGAAAAGCGGGCACAGTTATATGCAGAAAAGAAAGACGCCTAGCAAAGTGAAGAAGACGAAGCGCAAAAAAGGGGATCAAATAATACACTGACTATCATATGGAAGACGAAGATGTTCGTCTTTTGCTGCTGCCGCGCTTCTTATCACTGAGCCAGCTTCTTTTTTGGCGAGCCGGGATTGGAACTCGGACCTCGGCTCGGCTCAGGATAATGTATTTACCGAGAAAAATCACGTGTGCTAGTCTTTTAAGTTTGTTAGTCAGCAAGGTCACATTTAAAGTTTCGAAAGGAAGGAACCCAAAAAGACGACTTCACATGACACATGACAAGACATCAAGACATACTACTGATGTGGTTCATGCATCAGCATCGTAACAAATAATACTATATCGAACCGATTTTGTAGCATTCTCGCTCAAGAGATACAGCTATGCAGTTCTCCTCCTTTCGAGCATTTAGCGTCTGGTTGGTAACTGGCGGCATGGCCTCGAAGCCCCTTGAGTTACTCCGTCCTACATGGGGTTACCAGGACCGTCGACTACTTAGCTGGTTAAGGTTCCATGTCAGTGACATGGCTAAAGGCTCGAGGGTTGCAGCAAACCAAATAACTACGCCAATATGTTAGTCGGAGGGAATTTCGAGCCACTTGTCACGCATCTGACCGATGACACGATGGCCTGATCTATTGTGTATCCCTTGTAACTGGGACATGCATCAAAGGCCTACTTATGGACAAATTTTCTAATCACATGCCAGGTAGTGGTTACACACTCTTTGGTCGTTAGGCTGGGTATAATATGTCAAAGTAAGAATTAAAAGAGTTAAACGCTAAATGCTGACAGTGTAAATAAATTATTGCCCTTTTCTTCAACAAATGAAAAAGCTAGAATAAAACCAGGGAGCATCAGGGTATTGCAGGATTTGGGTATATATATGCACAGAATTTTTGTTCAAGACACAGGTTCGTACTGCACCCTAGGTTCACTTTTGTGCCTGCGTATATGAGATACCCAGATAATAATGTTATCGATTGCAATAACTAGAGGCAGGGTAGTTAGCCTTGGACAGTCAAAGATACCAGGGGCAGAGTCAGACAATACCTCCAATATACGTGAGAGCAACGGTTGGAGTAACCCAAGCACTATCAATGTAATTCCCAAGAGCTGACTCTTTCACGGCACTATCAAAGTTGGACATTACAGCCAACAAGGATAGAAACACGCCAATAGTGGTAGTGACAATAATGCTCAGCATCTCGGCACGGCTTTTATGGGACTTCGAGAACCAGTGTAGAATGGCCAGGAGAACAAGCGTGAGTCCGGCGGCAGTAAAAAAGAAGCGGAAGACGATGGTGGCAGCGCTAGAAATCTGGACGAGTTCCTGGATAGCTGCCTTGCCCTCTTCCTTTCCTACCTTTGGTGTTTTCTCTCCAGTTTCTTCCTTAACTTCAATGCCAAAAGTGTGCATAATCCAGACAAGAGATTCTGCCAGAAACTCTTCCAGGAGCTCACGAACCTCTTCCGAGGCTATAGAAAACTCCTTGAAGGACAACAACTTCTTGTATATAGGGGTGAAATCAGGTTTTCCATCAGTCGATTTTAACTTGCTGGAGATATCGACAATAATCTCCTGGAGCCCTTGAACCAAGTCTGCAGCAGTCTGGACTCGATTCACATTGCTCATGAGTCCAACGAGAGCATTTTCATAGATCCTCTTAGCCACATCGTATAGCACGAACGAACGACTTCCTTCACTAGTAACGAGGATCGCGACATGGAGCGGGTAATGAAAGAGTGCCCAGATCTGCTGACGGATGGTTCCAAAGCGCTTCACGTCAATTTGATCAAAGTACAGCATATAAACGAAGTATATGATAAGAACATGGCAGATAACCAGGGAAACAGATGTGCCTGATATAGTCGAAGTGCCGAGCGCAATGCTTTTGATCTATTATTTGGTTAGTTATAGTGTTACTGCGTACAGTGTCAGTACAGGCTGGTGTCCCTTACAGCTTTGGTCATTCCAACAATGCCCTCCCCAAGAACAATCAATGTAAGGCACCCAAATCTCTCGACGATTGGAGTTCCCCTGAAGGACAAGACTTTCCAGAAGCTAGATATGGCAATCATGAACACAGCCTCACAGGCTATGACAACATACCAGGCGATGTGTACTCTTGGTGACTGGATGGAGTGTGCGCTCACTCCTAAGCCGAGGAACACTGTTGCTGAGATGAAGAGGGTAGCAATAACCAAAACTTTAGCAGTAAATGTCTGTTTATGGCCTCTCAGGTACCAAGCAACGGTCGTATATTGAGCGACGAGAATAAATCTAGACACCATGAGAAGGTAACACATGCTAGCGAACCGTCCGCGGTGCTCGAGGATATTAGTGACGCTGAAGTTGACTGACAACACCGCAAGTCCAGTCATGATGCCTAGGTGAAGAGCCTTGAAGATCCGGGAAACGATAGAGTCGGTGTAGAACCTAATGTCGAACAAGGCCGCTTGTAACCAGCAAAACCACAGGATGGTTATGAATGCTATGTACGACTTGACGCCTGCAGGGATATTAGAATCATCAACCGAAGTAACAGGCAGGATGAGGCGAGGCCTTACTGTCAGAAGTGTTGATTTCGTGGGTAGCATGGAAAATGGCGAGCGTAGCGACAAAGAAGAGATCGTAGAATAGCTCCATCGTTGTTGCTTCGTGGTTCTTCTTGAGAACAGGACCCTCGTGAGTACTCAAATTGTCCGCCTCCCCCGGATGCGGTGCATCAGGGTGAGTGCCATCATGGGAGCCATGGCTGTTTTTCTCTAGGATTTCATCCTCGGAGGCGATTGGGCTTTCTATTAAAGGGAGAGGTTTCCTCCAGTTTGACTCAGTGTAGTTGCGGCGAAATATATTCTTGAGCCGCATCGTGAAAAGAGAATACCACACGATTTTAGGGGGGTAGTTATTCTCGTGGCTTGGCAGGATTGGCAAAGAAGCTTGTCCAAAATCCAAGACGGAGGCATTGCAGGGGAATATAAATACTTAAGAGCCCAGAAAAAGGAACAAGAGTCAAAGAAAGGGGGGAAACGATTGGGAAGTGAATGGATTGTATCAAGAAGCGATAGCCTGGCTGTGAGGCTGACGTGGAAGGTCGTCAAGGTTTTGAGGCTGCCAGCATGGAGAGATGCAACCAATCATTCTGAGTGCAGGTTGGGAATAAGCAACGACAAGCAATCGGGGAAAAGGCTCCATAACTTTCGAACATATATTTTAGTGGGCCTTCAGCAGCTGAAGGATGGGGAGCTGACTTGAATACGGAGTATCTGCATGGTAACTAAGTACTCCATACCTCCGTATATAGTCTCCCCGTCTCTGGATATCTGTACGCGTATATATTCACTATGAATCCGTACGAAGGAGTGTGAGACTGACAAATTCCTCATTCGAGCCAATGGCATGTTCTCACATTTAGGATGGTGGCTGTACAGAGCACAAAGAGTCTATCCGTTATATCTTCGGTCTGCCATGTCTCCATACAGGGCAATGGTTTGATTAAAGTTGACGATCAGCCCTCCGACTAATCCTCATTGGGTCATGGATGCGAGCAGGAGGAGCGAGTTTCGGTTCTTCGAGGCTTTGTGCATAACAGGCTGTGAAACTTAACCCATCACAGCAGGCAGGCTGTGTTCGCGATGCCAAACCAGTTAATTGATCAGCGCACGGAATCCTGACGACGAATCATAGCCTGCTATCGAGAATCATCAGCTGGAGCGAAGCATCGGAACAGCCACACAAAATCCTGATGGATTGAGGCCCCAGGGAAAATCAAAACAATTGAGCTGGCGAGTTAATGAATGGTGAGTCAATGCAACGACGGAAGAGCGCTCGATAGGGAGTATGCGATGCGATAAGTTAGTTCGCAGCGACATGGGAACAAGGTACGAAGTATTTAAGATGCTGGTGATAGGCGTGTGAGGGTACTCTGTGCTCTGCAGTAACTTCATAACGAAGAATGGAATCGCCGAGTAACCCTATCCGCAGTACAAAGTATGGAGTCCATGGATTAAACGTGTTCTCCATAGCCCATACTTTGTATACTGTTCAGAGTCTCTTCTCGTGGAGTAAACAAAGCGGTTATTTCGCTTGAAACTGTGGATTGTCCTCTGATTCACTTCACCCTGCAAAATACAAGGCGTCACAAGGTCGCAGAGCAAAACGTGGAACATCGAGGATAGCCCTAGCTTGACCATCCAGCCCATACAGCGTTAATACAAGACGCACCATCATCGCGAGGCAATCCGTGGCCAAAGGACCAGCCTTCAGCCGTCGCATAAGAAGACCTGTGTTGATGATATGATGTCGGCGCTGAGAGAAGAGGAAGCAATAATATTGTGGCTGTTTACATTACATAATAATTACGTAAACACGCCGAAAGGTGGTAGTTTAACTATATAATTCTATTATTAAGTAAAAAGAATTATACTATTGGCTAGTAATGGGGTCTTCATTTATTACACTTATTAAAGTGTGATTCTAGATAATTACTATTCAAAATATCTATACGGAGTACAATCATTGGCTGCATGGCATTATTTCATACTGGCTAAGAACGAATTTTGAGCTTATGTCAGCTACCGCTTGGATTGTCCGTATCCTGATAGAATATACGGCGCTATATCAATCTACCAGCTGGGAGGAATCCAGTAATGCATCCAGCCATCGTCTATATCCGCGTCTTTGAACTTCTCAATGCTCCCCTCGACACCATGCTCTCCCACAGCCCGGACGCCAGTTTCAACCAGTTCCCTTCTGCCTATCACCGAACGGATTCCATCGCCAGACATCGTGGGCATCCCATTTCGCCCATCCCTCGCGAGACTCAGGCACAATCTTGCCTACCGAGATCATCTCGATCCAGTTGCTCAGCATAGTCTCGAGTGGATGCCATCGTTTCTCATGCTCGTCGACGGGAATTACCAGGTCAGTCAGCTCCATAGCTAGGATCATAGCAACCCGGCGGCGCTGCTGATCATAGACGAGTCCTACTTGGTGGCCGCCCAGTTCGAAGACGGCATGGTAGAGCAGAATATAGCGAGGGAGGTCATCCTCGGTCTCGTCTTCATTCTGGTCTATCACGTAGTAGCCATCAGTATCGACCAAGTTATCCGGGTCCGCGACATGAGTGACCCAGTAGAAGAGGTAAGCGTCCTTGACCCGCCGCTCTTCATCTGGAGCAATGATGGAGGCGAGGAACGACCTGAGGTCCGGGTCAATTATGTGGCCGACACGAGTGAGCTGGTCGGCGTATATCGACTCGTAGGATGGCCGGACAAGCAGGTGGTGCAGGTCTTCGGGCTGTTTATTATTCCTCGCCATCCAGCCGCGGGCGACGAGGTAGTTTTGCAGCCTGGCACAGCGCCGAACATCCAGCACTCCGTTATCAGCATCCTGGGCCGGGTTGGTGTCGGACACCAGGGCGTCTTCGATGTCAAGAAGGTCGTGGCTGGCCATGGTCAAGTTGTATCACTTGTATCACTTGTATCACTTGTATCACTTTGATTGATGCCGTGACGGTACGCTCTGTTGCTCTGTTGCCTTGAGGCCAGCATATATAGACTCCATTGTCCCACTCCTGTATATAGCCAATGTAGCCTAACTGCCAATACTGTTATATGTCTCTTATTAGGGTATCCTGCGTAACTAGCTCAGGGGTTGCCTTCGGTGTTATTAGAAGACGAAGCTGACCTTTTGGTAGGAACACTGGACCTCCAGGCTTTGGCCTTTATATCGTCTATCTATAAGAAGACGACTTCCGACGCTGTCTGTAGGTGTAGTTATAAAAATAGTTCCTTTTTAAATAATAGTTTAATTATGGTATCTAATAATAAAATAATATCGAATATACCACTAGGTATCTGATGGAAAACCCCCTATTTTCCCAGTATGACCAGGCCGGGACAACAGTACCTAAGCCGTTGAACACGTGATCTTCCCTTGGCAGCCTGATATTCGAACATGGATCTCAGCTTTCTTTTATGTAACGAGCAACAAACTACAAAAACAAACGAGAACATGCCAGTTTTTTTTTTTTTTTGTCCTTTTCTGTGCTGATCTACAGATACGAGGAGACAAGGCGCCAGAGGCGATCCCAAGAGTTGTGTGGCCTGGCACATAACGAACGAACGCTGATGGGAGAACAAAGTGTGGCTTCGGCCTCCATCCCTTCCTCCGTACGGAGTGCCACGCTCGCCTTTCTCCTACTAGCAAGGAGTTTGTACGGAATACTCCATAATTCAGGGACATTTCCAGAACACATCACAGCTCCATGTTCCCGTGCCATGGCAGACGCGGCAGGGCTTCCTCAGCCGCTCATCTGGGACCTCTCCCCGGATCAATGGAAACATGGGCCCCTATCCAATCACATATTGCCTTGCTGTCTGCCCCCAGCATTTTTAACATTTTCCCTCTGAACAACAAAGTTAGCCTCCCAAGTCACAGTCTAGGCAGCTAGCCATTCTTTCACACAAGGCCAAGGCCCTTCGATCGTTCTTGATACAGGCGTGCATGGTGGCCTCCAGCATATGTGGTGTTTGGGGATGTATTTACCCACTGAGTTCGATCGAGGGTCTGCCTCCAATATCTGAGCATCCAGATTTGTCTGTAACCGTGAATTCATTCCTGTGTCGAGGGCGGCCGTGCTGTAGCTTGGATAGGTTTCCTTACCGAAGGGGGTGTAGGGGTTATATGCATGCCTGCTACAATTTCTCCCATGCAGACATGGTGGTGGCAGGGATACATATATTGCCCAGCATGGGAGTTACATTGCGTGTAATCAAAATCAGCCTACGCAGATGTTTCTCTCTCAGAAGATCCAGCAGCTTCCTGGCTGAATGCTTCGCCTAGTCTGTGTATCAACTGCCTCTCTGGAGCTCTCACGAGGGGGTCTAGACAACCAACCACGTTTGTGAATTACGCGATTGCGAATCCCTCTTCTTCAAGAGATAGCCTAAGAAATGATTGTCTCTGGGCCGTGTAACCCGTCCAAGGGGCGAGGTCAATGCAGTTGGAAGATCTCCGCGCATTTATCGGTCCCCATGCGGAAAAATATAAATACCCTGGCTTCAGCCTCATCGACGGGCAGAGATGTTCTCCAGTCACTGTACACATCTGTTTTCGTCCGCTCACCCTATTACTCTAATATTCTTAAAAGGGCCACTATTGCGGTTATTTCCAAACATACCCCCGTCGATAATCGTGGCAGGGAATGTACCGTGGCTCCTTGTATATTATCTGGGCATATCCAGAGCTGACGATATAGGATATCAGAACTAGACTACACATCTATCCCCTCATATATAAAGCTCCTCATCATCATTTTGCTGCTCAGGCTCCCACACTCCCTGAACACCATGCATGGACGATACAACCATCATGGAGAACTCTGCGTCCAGCATTAAAGATTCCAATACGACCATAGTCCAAGGGCCCATAACGCGGCGAGACTCACATCCAGAATGTGGTCTACTTCTGGCGGAGCCGGTATACGCGGAGGAAGTATTCGAGACTCGGGGGAAGAGCCTATGGTCAGTCGTCGTGATTGATGCTCTTGGATAGTTATAATGAGTTCATTGCATGTCCGGACTCTATATTAACTCGATAATTAGGAGGGTATTACCTGAGGTTCAAATTAACGTGAGATCAACCGTAGTCCTAGTCTACTCCGTACATATATTAAACCGACAGCATGGCTAACTGTTGACAGATGATCGCTTTCTCCGGGTATGCTAATCTTTTGAACCCTACAATACGTCGCACACGCTAACCTCGACCGAACCCGTTTCAGCACCATTGGGAATGGTGAGTGAAAGATATATTGGGCTGGAATGAAGTTTTGGATCATACTCCTAACTCGACATCCTATAGGATTATTCCTGGGAAGCGGTATGATTCTCGCCCTTGGCGGGCCAGGCGGTGCTGTTGTCGCATACTTACTCATGGGGACGGTGGTCGGCGCTGTAATATCATGTCTGGGAGAAATGACCGCCTTAATGCCAGTTAATGCGCCGGTGATGGAATTCCCACGAAGATTCCTAGATCGCGGAGTGGGCTTTGCGGTCGGCTGGACATATTGGTCAGTTTGACAATCGCATACTCTGGATACTGCTGATGAGCTTCTGTATCTGACATCAACCCTTAGGTTCGCCTATGCAGTGGTAGCTACCCACAATATGGTGGGTGCTGCAGAAACGGCCCGATATAGATATGTGGACGGAAAGACAGATGTCACTTGGGAAGTAGGGGAGAGGGTTGATACTGCAGTGTGGATCACCGTTTTCATCGTTCTCATTGCATTGATAAACCTATTTCCAGTCAAGGTGGGCCAAATATACGGCAAGAAAAGACTATTATTATTATTATTATTTTCCGCTGGCTAACATTTAGTTTGAATGGGTCAGTATTTCGGTATGCTCGAGTACGTCGTTGGAAGCGCTAAAATGATATTCATCATACTTCTAATTGTAATGATGGTCATTCTCAGCGCAATGAATCGTACGTTAAACCCCCCCCTACTTCTATACCCTTGATTGTTTGCATCCCTGGACTCCAACTAATGCGGAGGTTAACAGCAAGGAAATCTGCGTACTATCAGAAGCCACTCGGAACAAAGTGTAGGTTCACTCCGGTTGCTCTCACATCAGAACTTGATAGCTTGAAGGTGTATTATAACTAACAGCGACGGATTGAAAGACTGGGACTCCCCATACTCTTTCTTCAACCCCGAATACCATATCAAAAATAAAGATGGCTCTGTTCGGGTAATAGACGGAGGGCTGGGAAGGTTTCTCGGAGTTTGGTGTGTACCGTAATTCGCTCATACCATTTGATTTGCTCCAGGCCGCTAACTATAGCTATTGTCTGCCCTTGGTTATAGGAATGCATCCGTGAATGTCATATACTCGTATGTGGCTGTGGATATATTTGCAGCTACGGCAGCCGAGAGTAAATCTCTTGCTGACTCGGAGTGCATGAAGATGGCGGCCAGAAAGATAACACTCCGAATCGTCATTTTATACGTACTGGCGATGCTAACGTGTTCTTTCCTCGTCCCATACGATCACCCTTTCCTCAATGGAGAAGCGGTATCACTGGCCACCGAGTCGCCGTTTGTGATTGCAGTTGTTGAAGCAGGCCTTCCGGCAGCAGGAGAGTTTTTCAACGGAATGTACCTGTTTTCCTCGTTCACCTGTGCCGTAAACTCTGTGTATGTTGCGTCACGGGTGATGCACACCTTGGCTCTCAGAGACCAAACGGGACCCGAGTTTATAACCAAGCGGCTGCAGCAATGTCATGCTGGAGTACCAACAAGAGCTGTGCTGGCGACCGTGGCCATATTGGCTTTGGGATATCTGGGACCCGGAAAAGGTCCAGGCGATGTACGTGTGCCTATTATATATTGAGGAACCTCTTTGTCATCCCAACCTAGGTTCTGCCAAATTTGAGTCTGGCTAATGTTGTGAGCTGTAGCGGCTACGTGAGCTTTCGTCCAACTGCACAGTATCGTTCCTAATTGTTTACGGGATCATATGTGCGACATATTTGCGCTTTTACCAAACGTAGGTGTCATAATGCGAGGGCCCCAATGCTTCCCTGGATCTTGGAGCTGACTCAACTTGCACGAAATAGTCTTCAGGAGGCCAATTCACTCGGCAACACTGCCGAGTCGCAAAATGGCGTGTACGATCGGCAGAATCCACGATACCCATATAAATCGCACGGGCAGTGGCTGAAGGCCTGCTATGGGATGGTGTCGTGTTTTATATTACTCGTCTTCAACGGGATACCGGCATTCCTCAGCGATCCGTTTGATACCCGGGCTTTTGTTGTTTCATATATCAGCGTAAGTCAAACCGCCCAACGCATCCAGATGCATGTAGATCAAAAGCTGATGCAATAGGGGTTCTGTGTCAAATAATAGCTGCCCGTCTTCATTCTGCTGTTTGTGGGCTACAAGATACGAAGACACGGGCTCCATTTCTCATCCTGGGGTGCGGAGTGCTCCAACGACCTGCGGAACTGCGTCCAAACGACGAGCGGAACCCACAGGAAGGGAAGGTTAATATTCCCCGATCACGGACCAACTAGAAGGAACTGGGAAACATTCTTTGCATGGGTTTGGGCATGGACAAAGTGAGCTGGGATAGGTATCTTGGAGTTTTCGGAGCCCCTTTGTTTGTTTGCAGCGTTTGGCAGGTTTATATGGCTATAATAACCACTTACTACTACTGTATAACCCCTTCCGGGTGTATAACCAACTAATACATTCCATTCTTGGTACTGGGATTGGTCAACGGCCCCCCCAACATCGACAGGCTGATCCTGCGTGAAATTCTTGCTCGCGAGGTAGTAAATATAAGGAGGTTGAATAATAATGTCTCATCTCATCACCTTGCGGCCTTTTTCGTTAGTGAGCTGACTGTGCACGTGACACGCTGGTGCCTGGGCACTTTTTGGGAGCGACTCCATCTCCTCGACGACGACGACGACGAAGGACGAAACCAACATCCTCAACGTCGTTCAACACCCTCAGCATCTTCGTCGGTTATCCATATCTGTGTAGCATCACTGCCTCTCGCTCATTTCTTCCTTCCTTTCCTCCTTTCCTTCGTTTCTCTACCCAACTGTTGTCTCTCCTGTGTATCAAGGCCCAAACGATCCCTTTTCTTTTTGTAACTAACCAACCGCCCACCACTCGAGGCTGCCATGATCTCTCCCTCGCACATCATCGGGGCACTCGTCCGTCGAGGGCTGGAGACTGCCCCCCAGCATCTGGCTAAGCGGGAGGATGTCAAACGTGTGGTCTTCTCTCTACCTTTTGCAGCCTTTACCGTTCTCACTCTGATCTTCATCGTGGGACTCATCGCTGTAGGCGCCCTGAAAATAGACACTGTCCTTTGTTTCAGCTGATGCTAACGCGGTTGCTAGATCGACTATACATATGGCCGTGTTGTGACTACGCTGACGATCATCGAGGATCCCAACCCGGCGGCGGCTGCGTCTCTGCCCAGTTACAGCGACGTGGTCGAGGACGGTCCAAAAGGCGCCACTATCGATAAGAAGCAGCAGCAGCAGCCCCTTGGTCAGCCTGAAATTGAGGCACTTCCCACGGCCTATAAACCCATCACCAGCGGGCTCCGCTCGACGACCAAACATCTGCGTACTCGCGGTGGCCCCCGGGCCCGATTCCGTGGGTTTACTTACTATGTAGCCCTGACTCTTACCCGCGGTCTCTTGACAGGTTTGATTGGCTTTATGGGGGCTGTTGCTCCAGTCATTGCAGATGTTGCCGTTTCGACCATGATTCTCGCCTGGATCCACGCCGTTATCGCTGCACCCAGCTCCAAGTCCTGGTGCCAACGCTTCCCATCAATCCGTAAGAATTGGATCAAGATGGCACCAGCCGTTTTCATCTCGACAGTAGCCTCGCAGCTGAGCTTCCACGTTCCGGTTGCTATTGGAGTGATGTTCGGTGGTTTCCGTTACGACGGGCGTGGCATGTACTCTCTTGCTGAGCCCCGTCCCATCTACTTTGCGCATGCCGGCGGCGCCGTGGTTCTGTCACTGATCTTGGGCCTGGTGCTTGACCTCCCTGCTTCTGTGATGATGGTCCGGGTTGCAGCCTCTCTGTTGCCCGCGGACGACGAGACCATCGTCCCCTTCGACCGAACCTTTAACGGCAAGGTGACTTCTGTGGACGCTGATGGTGCCGGCCTCGTTGGCATCCTCGATGCCTGGAAGACCTTCAGCTGGGCCTCCTTCCGACGCCTGCTCATGAATCTAGTCAAGACTTGTGGCCTGATCGCGGCTGCATGTCTGGTTTATGGTATCGTTGGCGGCGTCGGGTTCGCCCTGTTCGCACCTGACGGTCCCAAGGCCTTCATTGCTTCTATGGGCCCTGCAGTCTGAAGTGGTATTTCGATATTTCGATATCCCATGAGGATAGATACCCAGCGATAAGCCAGGTTGACTTTGACTGCAGGCAGCTGCAATATCGTGCCAAATACCAGCTCCTCCTCAGTGGATGGAAAGAGCTATATATCCCATCCTATACCTTTTTTTGTACTACTTTTGTATCACTCTCTGTACCACACTCCCTTCCCGCTCGTTTATGCTACAGGCACACAGGTGTATCTCCGCCAATGTAATAGTCATTTATAATTAAGTAGATCATCGCTTTGACCATGGATAATCGGTGCCAATAAACCAGCTGTACCCCGTACGCTGCCAGCTATGTCCATCCAGTGTTGAAAAGAGGCAGACCCGTGCCGGGGTAGTTGCATATACGTGCAGGCGGTCACTTGCACGGCGTTCTGTGGCTTTCCCGCTAGCTAGCTAGTTAGTGAGCAGCAACGGGACTGACTAACTAGTTCAAATCCACGAGTTACCCGCCAACCAAGTACACCCCACACCGTCGCAGACAGGACAGCATTTACAGCCAACCTGCAAACCGTTCTGTTCCCCCACCTCAGCCTGTTCTGCTCCCTCTCGAGCAACCCGGCTATCCTCACTCTTCAAGTCAACCAGCGATCTACATACAGTCTACATCCAGCCTACCTACCGAGGGCGTACGGAGTACCAAACGAGGGAAACCCTCCCCCAGACCTCCTCCCCCGCCACAGCGCGCCACAGAACCAACACCAGAACACCGAAGCACCTTGGAAGCTTGCCATTGTTTTTTTTGATTGTCAGCGAGCGAAAACCAGCCGGATAGGAAGAGAAAGCCCGGGGAGGAAAAAAAAAGGATACCAGCTGAAGAAAAACAAGAGCGGAGAAGAAAAGCAGAGCGAGGATGGCGGCGTCGGCAGCAGGAGGCTTGCTGAGCCGCCAGCTCAAGCAGATGCAGACGGACAAGGACATTCCGGGGATCAGCTGTGGGCTGGCGGACGACAACAACGTGTTTGAGTGGGAGGTGATGCTGATGATATCGGACGACTGCAAGTTCTACGGGGGTAATTACCGCTGTCTTGCGAAGCACAAATACCTTGTTAAAACTCGGGATCTGACTTGAGACAAACAGGAGGTTTCTTTCGCGCAAAGCTGACCTTTCCGCCTGAATACCCGCATCTGCCGCCGAAGATGAAGTTTGAGACACCGATGTTCCATCCCAATAGTGAGTGGTCTTTTTTTTATTTTTTATTTTATTTTTATTTTTTCCCCCCCTTTTGTATGTACTACTGTCTAACGATGACTAGTATATCCCAACGGCGAGGTATGTATATCGATTCTGCACCCGCCAGAGGAAGACAAGTACGGGTACGAGTCGGCGGCCGAGCGCTGGTCGCCCGTGCAGACGCCGGAGACGATACTGCTGAGCGTGATTAGCATGCTGTCGAGTCCGAACGACGAGTCACCGGCGAACGTGGAGGCAGCCAGGCTGTGGCGGGAAGATCCCAAGGAGTTCAAGAAGCGTGTGCGGCAGTGCGTGCGCGAGAGTCTGGGGGAGGATTAACTAGTCGTCTACATTAAATATCGTTATCCATGACCAGCTTCTACCGGAGTTAAATATTCTTATGCATGACTAACCAGCTTCTATCGTTGGAGTGCTCGTTGCTTTGCGTATAACTAGTTTGTCATGGTAATCCCAAAGAGGCAATTTGAACTTCCATCAGTAGTCAACTCAGAGTAAAAGAACCAAGATGAGAACTTCTTTCTTGACCTGAACTGTTGGCATTAATATTATTATCATGAGCTTTTCGCAGCGTTTATTACATATATGCGAGAAAGAGTTAATACAACATTACACACTGCTAGGATATATCCGTGATTTACCTCGTCCATCAATTCAGTGACTCGTAACTAACAAAGGAAAAAAAAAAAAAAACAGGCACCTCATCAAAGTAAACTCCAGACTAGCATGAGAGAGGAATTTACAAGGCGAGGAGAGCAACGAGACCGATGGCACCAGCAACACCAAGACCAGTAGCCTTGGGAGCCATACCCTGGGAGGGGGTTGGGGATGGGCCGTTGCCAGAGCCAGAGGTCTCGCTGCCACCGCTGCCGCCGCTGCCGCCGCTGCCCTCGGTGGAGGATGGGCTGGAGCCACCCTCGGAGGAGGTTGCAGAGGTAGGCTCGGGGCCAGAGGTGGACTCGGAGCCAGAGCCAGTGGAGGAGCCGGACTCGGAGCCGGACTGGGAGCCAGAGACCTCGGTGTAGAGAGTGGTGGCAGGGCGGCTGGTGGTGATGACATTGGTGCCGGAGGTGATGACGGTTGGGCCAGCAGGGATGGTGGTGTAAGGGGTAGAGTGGCCACCGGACTGTTTTTCGAGTTAGTATATAGATTCAACACGTTTGATATATATATATATATATATATGTCAGGTAGAGGCAGCCTTACGGTTGGGGCAGGGGCAGAGCCAGAGCCGCTGGTGGGGGGAGCGGTGGTCTCAGAGCCGGAGCCAGAGGTGGGAGTTCCGGTAGCAGTGCCAGAGCCGGTGCCGGTAGTAGGAGCACCAGTGGCTGTTAAGCAGGCGTTAGTATAATCATTTCATGCAGCAGCGGAAACAGAGAATTGAGAGAAAACGTACAGCTTCCTGGAGCACCGCCCATGTCCTTGCAGGCCTTCTGGCCCTCCTCGACAACCTTTTCAATGTTCTCGCCAGGGCAGGCCTCCTTGGTGCAGTCACGCAGACCGTTGGTGAAGTCAGGGTGCGAGCAGAGACAGCCGGGGTCGTGAGGAGGACATCCAAGCTCGGCAGCCTTGCCCAGCATGCTCTGCAGACAGGCTTGCTATCAATGGATAGTCATGTTAGTTAATTGGACTTGGGGTGACGACTATCTTCACTGCTGGGTGATCGGATTGGTACGCACAGAGCAAGCTGGGAGCTCAGCCAGGGTGGTGGCGAGGCACATGGAAGCGCCGAGGGCGACAGAGACAATAACAGAGGCCTTCATGTTGACTGGTTGGTATATGTGAGGACAGTAGTAAGTACTGATGATTTGGCAAACAAGCAAGTCGACTCTTTGTAAAGAGGAATTGACGATGAAGGGATATCAATTGAACTTGTCTGGAGAAGAGAAAGGGAGAGAGAGAGAGAGAAGAGAAGAGAAGAGAAGAAAAGACGAGACGAAGGGTGGGAGAGGGAGAGCTAGATAAAGGCAGGGCGGGAAAAGGGGAGGGCAGGGCCAGCAGCCCAGCAGGCAGGGTCGGGAAGAGGCAAAACACACAGAGAGAGAGATGGGAAATGGGAAATAGGAAGAAAAAAGCAATAAAGCAATAAAAGGACAAGGGCAGGGGAGAAAAGAAAAGAAAAGAAAAAAAAAAAAAAACGGGGAACAAAAAGGGACTAAAAAAGAGGGAGCAAGAAGGAGATGAGCAGGCAGGCAGGGAGGTGTTGTGTGAAGTCATCGTCATCGTCGAGCATCGAGAGATCGCACTCGGACTTGCATCGTGGACCGGGACAAGCTCAGCCAAAAGAGTCGAGCAGGCGAGCTTCTGATTCGCTGGGCCTTTTTTTTTTTGGCTTGAACTTTGCTAGCTTTTAGCTTGTTTGACTTTGACAAAAAAAAGGGGCAGGAAAAAAAGAAAAGAAAAGGCTTTTGAGACTTTTGACGGGTGGCATAAAATAATAAAAAATAATAAAAAATAATAATAAGCAAGCAGATAAAAGCACAGTTAAAAGAGCAGTCGAATCAGCGGCAGCGGATGCAGGGCCAGCTCATCCTCGCTGCTTTGCTTCTTTTTCTCCTTCTTCTTCTTCTTCTTCTTGCTCTTCACTCACTCACTACTAGTGCAAGGTGGCCTGTGAGATGTCCGGCCGCTGGTTGTGTTGCCAACCGTCCTACCTGGCCAACCGCCTCTGTTGCTCGGAGCATCACAGCAGGAAGACACAACAGAGTACGGAGTACTTCTACTCTCTCTCTGTGTATACTCTACTCTCTACTCCCTACTCTCCCTACTTTCTACTCCCTAATCTCTACTCTCTACTCTACTCTACTCTACTTCTCCGACTTCTCCGACTTCTCCTTCCTACTTCTTCTTCCTGCGGGGTACAAACTTCCATCCTTTTTCCCTGCAGGCCCGCTTGCAACCCTGGCTAGCCTCTTTCGGACTAGCGATCGGCGCCAAATCAAGATCTGCTTCGGGTGACGCTAGCCGCCTCGGGCAGTTGATCGATCGCCGGGCTCGTACTCATCTTATTATTAGTATTCATTTAACAGAAGTGATGCATGCCGGGCGGGAGTGAGATTGGAGCTAGATGGGCGCCAGAGGGCAGCCAGATGGGGGACGGGACGATACGGCGGGAAGGGGGCGAGTCAAAGGGGGCAATTGAATGGACGAGAGACGAGAGAGGACAGACGAGAGACGAGAGGCGTGGGCGTGGGAAAGAGCTTGACTGCCCCAACCCCGACCCTGCAATAATAATAATACTGATAATAAACACAGCTGCTCTGCTCGGTGGAGCTTTGGGTAGCTAGTTGGGTGGCGTTAAGTGACCAGCACTGCCTCTTATTCTTTTTTGTTTCTTATTTTTTTTATTTTTTTAGTCGACCAAAGCTCCGCTCAAGCATGACATTCTTGTCTCCAATAATAATGGCTGCTCTGGCTGTTCTTTTTTTCCCGCTGTTTGTTTGCTGCTGCTGGTGATGGACATGAGCATGGACAAGGGTATGGCCCACGGTCACATCATACTTACTTACTCGACTAACTTACTTACTCTCACCACACTACGGAGTAAAGCTTAAGGACTTACTTACAGCAGGGCTTCCCACTATGCCACAACTAGCCAGGACAGGGACCAGCTCCGTGGTGGCTGATGGCTGATGGCTGAAGAACGGGTTGGGGCGATGAAGTCATCCCGATACCATAGTTTTTGTTAGTTAAAAGTCCTCACCAGCCACTTTTCTCCAGGCTGCTCTTCCGTTTCTCCCTTAGCCCCCCTTTCTCGCTTTCTCTCTTCTCGCTCATTATTCTTCCATCATCATCCATCATATCCATCATATACTTGAAACGGCCGTTGCTGGGTACCAGAAGATGGGGTTTCCAAAAGATGGGACGCAGGAGATCTCCGTCGGTGAAGCTCTCGGATGACGGCAGTTCTTTCAAGTCCCATCCCCTCCCCTCCCCCTCCCCCTTGCTGTCAATTCCTATCGCTGTCGGCTGCCATAACATCGTCATATCATATAGCCATCACCCAGGTAACCACGAAGGGAAACTCCGTATCTTTTCTTCTCTCCCTTGTTGGGAAAAAGCAAGCTGCATCGACGACAGCACTGGTGCCACCATCGCGCATGGACTGTACATACTTACAGCGCTTTTTACACAGCACTCCGTACATCAAAATATTACTTATTATCCCGCTCTCAGTTCCTATCCCGGTCTGGTCTGGTCTGGTCTGGTCCGTCCGACGTGTTCGGATCGGTTGCGCCTCTCGATGGCCGATCGCTTGGAGCTCGCTCACACACCTCCGTGCATATACCTATATACATATGCACGACTGCGAGCTACTTACCAGACCGAGTTAGAAGCTCCCTCTCTTGACAGCCATCAAAAAAGGAACAAGAGCGCGCGTGCAGACGTCGAACCCGCTCACTCATGCTGCTGGCTCCATATATCATAGAATAATAAATACTCGCGCTACGGAGTACTGCTCTCATAGTTGTTTTTATGAGCCTTGTTTTGTCGGTCAGCGACGGTTGCGCGGGTCGAGTTCGCCACTCTCTTGATTGCTGGTGGACTGTTGAAATTAAACTGACCCAGTGCCGCCCCCCCCCCCCCCCCTTTCCCCCCTTCCCCCCGTCTTTTTTTTTTCTCCTTTTCTTCGAACGGTCGTTTTGGCGCGCCCGCTCTCTCTCTCTCGCTCTCTCCGGGCGGTTCCAGCAGGTTGATTCCGAGGACTTGATGTTGGTTTCTTTTCTTTTTTTCTTTTTCTTCTTTTTTTATTTTTTACCAGGTTGGAAAACTTGTTTTCTGTGTTGGTTTTTTTTTTTTTTTTTGGGCGAACTGTACTTATGTAATTCGAATTACATAATCTCGCCAAACCCTCATGGACAAAAGATACTCCGAAACCTTGATGACCGCCCGGCCTGTACATCCAATCACAGCCCAGCTGCAGATCCGGCTGACCTAAGATCATCACCATCACCATCATCGCTATCCAGTGGTTATTGGTAGCGAAGTTATATCTCTCCTTGATCGGTTGGCATTGCATCGCTAGGCAGCATTTTAACGGAGTAATACCTCGTCTGCTGCCTTGGGGGTGCTGGATACTGGGTACTCCAGACACGTCGCCGGCCTCCGGATACCCATCCTTGGGTTGGCTGTATCATAACCTGCCCCTTGATTTCAATTGAGGCCCTTCAAGATCCCCGGGAACACTTGACATTTCATGGCTCTCTCGTTGTGCTCAAAATTATGGAGTTTTGTCGGCCCCTGGCCCGCGGAATACGCAGGAAACCGTCATTGTTTCCCTACCCGCCATTTCAGCCTTCTGTATCACCACCATTATTATTGCCGAAGATTTTCATCCACTGCTCGATGATCAGAAGGATACCCGAAGAGGCCCATGGTTTATTCGACTATACCTCGGGGAGATGGATGTCTGTTGAGATAGCCTTCCATTACCTCTGGTCACCAAGTGTATGAGACTAATTATCTGCCTGCTTTTCAAGCTACAATGATGCCCTGAGACACTCCGAGAGACGGCGCTGCTTCGACATTTCGGAGCTTAAACGGCTCGCTGCTGCGTCTATACACCAGCGAACGGAAGATGTTGCCAAATTCGAGAAACTTGCCGAAGGAGGCTTCAACCGAGCCTTCCTCGTAACCATGCGCGATGGCTTTCAGTTGGTTGCCCGCATCCCTTATCCATCGACAGCACCAAAAGACCTCCTCGTTGCCAGTGAAGTAGCCACTATGGATTTTCTTCGCTCCCATGGTATACCCGTTCCAAAAGTCTATGGTTACTCGACAGTGTCAACCAACCCGGCGGGCACGGAGTACATCTTCATGGAACTTATCCGCGGTAGGAACCTAGGAGACATCTGGTTTGACCTGTCAGAAAGACAGAGGATCACCGTTGTTTCTAAAATTGTGGAGCTGGAGTCCCGAATCTTTGCTCTGCGGTTTCCAGCAAGTGGAAGTCTTTACCATTGTGGTGATCTTCAGGGTGAAACCGCCAGAACCGCCGTTCCCACCGCCGACCATTTGTCCGGCGAGAACAATTTTTGCATCGGGCCCGATACTACACTCGGATTGTGGTTCGGCAAACGACTCGCATTATCGGCTGAGCGCGGTCCATGTAAGTTCTGGTGTTTTTTTTACAACTGTCATTATCCGCAGTCTGCTTAGTTATAGCCAGCCATTAACAAATTTACCAGACAAGGATTGTTTGGCTGCTCTGACGGCGGGCGCTAAGAAGGAGATCTCATATCTGACCAAGTATGGACGACCTATCCTACCTTTCCAGCGTCTTCGGCGGGAGATATACGACTACAAACCCCGTTCGCACCTAGATCAATTGGTGAATTTGAGACAGTACCTGCAAATCGCACCTCATCTCATACCACACCATGACCCGGCACTGGCCCGCCCAGTCATGCGGCACCCAGATCTCCAACCCAGCAACATATTCGTCACTGACAAACTTGAAATTACCGGCTTGATTGACTGGCAGCACTCCGCCATACTTCCACTATTCCTTCACTCCGCTATTCCAAACAGCTTCCAGAACTATGGCGACGAGATATCGGAATCAATGCAGCTGCCTATCCTACCAGCCAACTTTGACGAGCTCGATGAAATGAAACAGTTTTCGGAAGTAGAACTCCTACGCAAGCGCCAGCTGCACTACTTCTATCTTCGAGAAACCGCCAAAATGAATCCAGAACACTTCAATGCTCTTATGAACGGGCTGAATACTTTAAGACGCAAGCTTTTCCATCACGCCAGCGAACCCTGGGACGGCGATAATGTGACTCTGAAAGCTGATCTGATCTCATTAACAGAGAAATGGCAACAGCTTACTAGCAGCTCTGGCTCGGAAGCACCCTGTCCAATCACCTTTTCGGAGCACGAGGCTGCTGCGTGTATCCAGCTGGACAAAGCCCAGGTAGAAGCCGATGAACAGTTACAGGCTTGTAGGGAAGCTATTGGAGTAGGCACCGAAGGCTGGGTCCCCCTTGAGTTTTATGAAGAAGTGAAACAGCGTGAGGTAAAGCTCAAGGCCGATGCTCTGGATGCCGCTGAAACCGAAGAGGAGAGGGCGATGACAAGAGAGCACTGGATATTTGACGACTTTTGCGAAGAAGACTATCTTTAAATATGGTAGGTATGCATACTCAGGTATTGTTAAATCTCTACATGCAAAAGTAATGGTATGAAATTCTTTCGCGCTAACATCTAACTCTTCTTCCTTCTTCTCCTTCTTTTTTTTTTTTTTTTTTTTTTGTTACCCGGTATTTTATTAAATGGATAAAATAGGCCACTTTGCCTCTTTCAAAGTATTTCCTGCTCTCAACGGCCATTGAGTTTCCACGCCCGCTTATCATGGGGAGGACCCGCGTCCTCCACGCCGCTCCAGATTTTCGGCGAAAATACTTGGCTTCTGAGCCTTCAGGAGAGTGATGTACTCTCTCTCCTCTGCACTCAACGTATTAATCGGGATCGTCTGTTCGCTCGCCCCGTCGAATGATAGCAGGTGTGATACCCCTATCCGGGAGGCGCTATGCTCCAGAACAATCTTCAAGTCCTCCACTGTCGGAGCAGCAACGGGGTACGCCAGCCACGGCTCTATCCCCGCGGCGAATAGGGCTAGCGCAATGGCCACCCATCTTTTGGTAGCCGCGTTGCTCACGACACCGGGTGGCTGCCGGAATTCCACTGTACCACATCCACCTTCTCGCGCGTTTCGGAAGTTCCAAGCCACAGTCTTTTTGGGAGAAATGTTCTCCCACAATTCGGATTTGTCGGAAAATCCTTCGATCCAGGCCAGGAGAACTGGCCGCCCAGCCATATATTTGGCCCTGAGCTCCGGAACGACTTCTGCGTTCGCGTGGCACCAATCTGTGCCACGCCTGCCGGATGGTATCAACGCCGTGATGGCGGGCTGAAATACGGTGACGAATGCAGTGAGCTTTTTTAGTTGGGCTAACGTGAACCCCCCGACAGGTGAAAAGTGCACGTGGGTTCCGCAGGATGGGTCACCCCGGACTTCGAAGTTGGCGAGGAGTATATGCCAAAACCTGTCTAGCTGAACAGCCCATCCAGAATTGACGTACAAAATGCAGGTAATTATCTCCACCCCGACTAAGAATACTCATCGTTAGCGGTTCAGTGCGATCAAATAGGGAGAAGGCAACTGAATGCTTACCGAAATCATCATCATTGCTCCTAATCGATGCATCCCCGGTTACTTGCCATTTTTCCTGGTAATCACTGTCCTCGTTATAGAGCTCAGCCGGAAAAGACCGCTCCGTAAGCACTTCGACTAGCGTTTTGTGCACCGCAATCATATTCAGTCTTGGAATATTGTTCGGCCTATGGCCATGTTTGGCAAGCAAAGGCAATATTCCGGCCAGTGGCTTGATGAGGAGTTCTATTTCAACCCCAAAGGAGGCCATGGTTTCGACACGTAATAAGAAAGATACAAATGCGGGCGAATGAAGGAAATATTTCGAGACTTAAGGGAAGAGGGAAAGTAGAGGGTAAGAAGATTCAGGCTTGGGATACGGTGCTATGGAGGAATAAGTCGATGACAGTGAAGTTTCCAAAGTAGTGACTTAGAGAGAAGTGGTTGGAAGCTATAGTGACCAGGCAAGAGGTGACTTCTTATATCTATTGGGATCATATCTTCAAATATGCTATCTACTTATCCAGGTCGGTACAAGGAGACAGGCTAAGGAGAAGGAACAAAGAATGTTGTGTTATGCATGTATGTGTTTTCACTCCATGTGAATAGCCACGGATATTCACAGGCTGTTATCAATGATTCTATACAGATGTTTTCACACTATGTAAATAGCCACGGATATCCACAGGCCATTATCAAAGCTCCCATACAAATGTTTTTATACTGTGTGGATAGCTAATGGATATTCACAGACTGTTATCAAAGCTTCCATACATGTGCTTTCACTCTATGTAAATAGCCGTGGACAAATTAAATGGAATAACTATGAATGCTTCCAAGGAATCAGGTAGTCTAGATAGTTCCATAGAGAATAGAGTGTTTGCTAGAAACCAAAAGGCTGCAGGCCTCCGGTTGAAAGGATGATAGTTATGCTCTTTATTGGCAAGTAGATTAGGCAAAGCTGGCTGCAAACTATCTACCGAGACAAATGTAAATAGTTTGCCTTTTTTGAAGAAAGCAAACTACCTCAGGGCAGTGGAAACAAAGCAGTCACATGATTGACAGCTCCTCATAGGTAATTAACTTAGCCAGTTAGTCAGTGATGTCATCTTTGACTCACTCAAAGACTTACAACTACTAAAAGCAAGGGAACAGTCCGCAGTCTTCTGCTGCTGGCTGTCCGATTAGTTATTTGCTATATTCTTCTAAATAAACCACAGACAAAAAGAACAGCAGCGCTTTCACTATCACTATACACCTGTGCTAGGCCAGACAGATCGACAGAAGTTGTCGAATTCTCGAGCAGCTCTCACCCGTCAAGTCTATCCCTTATCTACCTACCTACATACCTACCATGGACCTGGATCCGGTCGAATACCCTGTCAACAGCCCGCAATGGAGACGGGAAATCACTCGACTAAAGGAAGAGAAGCCGGACCGATACAAGCCGGAGCAGTGGGAGGAGGCGAGAAGGAGAGGACCACAGCCTGAGCAGCCGTGGCTGGAGCCCATACTGCTGAGGGGATTGCTTAACTCTCCTGAGAAGATCCAAGATCGTGCCGGCCTGTCTGAAGCGCCCAAGGTGCGGTCCGCCCAGACAGTTCCGGATAACCTCATCCACCCCGCGGACAAGCTGGAGACTGTACAGTACTGCATGGTGGACGGGGAAGGGTACTGTAGGCTTAGGGAACGATACCAGGTCAGATACACCACTCTGCTCATCGACGGCAAAAATAGGACCAGCCACATCTTCTATTCTTGATCCAAACACCAATCGGAACACCTTACTGACCTGGCTAACTATGGGTATGCATTGCGCTTTATCGGCTTGTCATTCTTCGCTCTATTCTTTTTGCTTACTGACGTGTGCGAGTAACTAGTGCAGGGGATTGGGACTTAGCTCACTCCCGCAGCCACTTCACCAGCTGGAAAACCTGCCTGGAAAGGATTTGGAAGCGTCATCTGTTGGTTAATCTTGGGACCATTTATTCTTTTTTTTGCCTTTCTCTCCCCTAGTTTTCAATAACTAGACATCTTCCGGGATGCATATTGGATATTTCTCGAGATATTTTGTTAGCTGCCGGACTACCATCTATGTTATAGACGCTAGGTAGTTAGTTACAATCCAACATATTATTCGTTACGAGAAAGACCTTTGCAACGACGACGGGTCCACACACATGCCTGACGCTTTGGTTGCCATACCGGGAACGCCGAGCAGAAGCCAGGCGTAGTTTAACTAGTGGGATGGTAACCAACTCGCTTCTTTGCATCACAAGATAACTATCCTCTGTAGGGAGCAGCAGCAGCAGTTAACTAGTTAGTAACTAGACAAATGCTATGGTAGTAAAAGTCTCTCTCTTTCGATAGTTTTATATCACCCTCTCCCCCAACGGCGTGGAGCAATGAGTAAGTTAAACTTGTTGACTAACCAGCGATACGAAAAGGCGAGTGGCCATGCAATAAACGCTGATGCTATGTAACCCCACGGGGAGAGGTCGTGTGAGAGGCAGGGAGGAGGAGGCTGGCCAGGTGGGATAAACTAACACAACTGGCTCTACTGGCTGGCCGATGTTTCAGCAGCTCGGGCCGTCTGCAGCTGGTCTTAACTGCGCAAGAACAGAAGAAGATGCAACTGCAGCGGCAGCGCGTGTCTAAGCTGGCCGTTGATGCTACCTGTCACCGTCGTGGCATCTCTTTCTCCGTCTTTTCTGCGGCCGGCAAACTCCCGTCCTATAAACAGGACAAGCAGAGAGCAGAGACAGCTACCATGGCCCAGAGTCGCGCAACTCACTCCCAGGTTGTCTGTCCCAGGTTACGCCGTACGCCTGCAGTCGCCCTGGTTTAACGAAGGAGTCGGTTAGCCAGAAGTCATCTAGTTATCTCGTCGCCCTTTACCTGCCGTCTCACCACCGTAGAGTAGATATTATAATAGCAGGCCTCTCCCCTAGTTGCCTCCATCTCTGGCAAACTCACAGTGTGGTATCTTCACCATCACCGTCGAGCGAGCGTCGCATCAAACTGGGAGAATGTAACCAAACATCGAAAAAGAAAAGAAGAAAAAGCAAAAAGCTCGCGTGTCTCGGGGATTTCTCAAGCCTTCTCTCTCTCTCTCTGTCTCTCTGTCTCGTCGCATGAAGACACGGATCGCAGTAGCACCGCCGCCAGCAGCAGCAGCAGGTGATAATAATAAGAGCAGCAGCTGCACCGGCTGTGTTGGAGATAAAGAAAAGTCGCATCGACCTCTCGCCGCTTTGTCAGCATCCTCGCTTTTTTCTCTTTACTCGTTAGTTATAAGATATAAAACTTCGTCCTCGCATCCTCTTCTGCTTCTCTTCTTCTTCTTCTTCTTCTGGTTCTTCCTCCTCCTCCTCGAGTCTGATCCAATCCAGGGACATCCTCGAGCACTGCGTCCTGCAGCCTGAGCCATGGCTGACGCGAAACCCGACTCTGCGCCCGCCGTCCGGGTCAGCGACAGCGACGATCACGACCACCACGACCAGCAGCAGCTCGCTGACCTCGCCAGGCCCAAGGGATGGAGGTACAAGGAGCTCAAGATCGCGGGCATCGGCCTCTCCTGGTATGCGTCGCCCAGCTTCCAGCTCGTCCTCGTCTCCTTTGTCTGCTTCATGTGTCCGGGCATGTTCAACGCCCTCACCAGCTTGGGCGGCGGCGGGAAGACCGACAAGACGACCGCTGATAACATGGTACGAACAAGCTTCTCTCTTACTTACACACAATTCCCGTAGTTTATTCTTTTCTTCGTACTGTGAATGCAAAGAATATTCTAACTCTACCGTTAGAACATCGCGCTGTACAGCTGCTTTGCTGTGTTCGGCTTCTTTGGCGGCTCGTTCGTCAACCGTCTCGGAGTGCGCCTGACCCTCGCCTTTGGAGGCATCGGATACTGTCTCTATGCCATATCGCTGCTTGTATCTGTCCACTCGACGCACGTAGCAGGGTTCAACGTCTTTGCGGGAGCCTTTCTCGGTCTTTGTGCTGGCCTCCTCTGGACCGCACAGGGCACCATCATGCTCTCCTACCCAGCTGAGTCCACCAAGGGACGCTCCTTTGCCGTCTTCTGGGCCATCTTCAACCTCGGCGGTGTCATTGGCTCCTTGGTCAGTTTCTCCGTCCCTTTGCTAAAACACACACGTCTATATGCATCTATACAATGTGCTAACCCATACCGACTTATATAGATACCCCTAGGAGAAAATATCAACGTCAAGGGTAATGTCAACGTTACAGACGGCACTTATATCGCCTTTATTGTCCTTATGGCCACCGGAGCTGTGCTCGCTCTGCTCCTCTGCAATGCAGGTGACATCTACCGCCGCGATGGCAGCCGAGTCGTCATCATGAAGAACCCTACCTTTAAGACAGAGTTCATTGGCCTGTGGGAAACCATTCGCAGCGAACCGTACATAGTCCTTCTCTTCCCACTTTTCTGGTCCTCCAACTGGTTCACCGCATACCAGTTCAATGCCATCAACGGCGCATACTTCACCACCCGCACCAAGGCCCTCAACTCAGTCCTCTACTGGACCTCACAGATCATCGGCGCAGGCATCTTCGGCGTCTGTCTTGATTCCACAGCTATCAGCCGCTCGCTTAGAGCCCGCATCAACCTCGCTGTCATGTTCGCACTCACCATGGCAATCTGGGGCGGTGGCTATGCCTTTGCCAAGGGATACACACGCGAGTCTGTCGATCCTGAGGCTGGTTACAAGGGCAAGGATTGGGGTGACAACGGTTACATCGGCCCTATGTTCTTGTTCATGTTCTATGGTTTCTATGACGCTGCTTTCCAAGCGTCCGCTTACTGGTAGGCCTCAATCATCTTCCATCTTATTTATTTTCTTGTGAACCCTCCAACTAACTTCTGTAGGTACATGGGCGCTCTTTCTAACTCTGGCCGCAAGACTGCAAACTACGTCGGCTTCTACAAGGGTATTCAATCCGCTGGTGCTGCTGTCTCCTGGGCCATCGACCTCAAGAAGATAGCCTTCATGTCCATCTTCGCCAGCAATTGGGCCCTTCTCGCCGGTTCTCTCGTCGTTGCTGCTCCGCTGGTCCTCAGAATCAAGGACCACGTCGACATCGAAGAGGACCTTAAGTGTTCTGACGAGACCATCGCAGATGTCCTTCCTACCGGCCATCCGGAGAAACACTCTGCCTAGACGGTCTCTCACCGTTTCTGTTCTTTTTCTTTCTCCTATTTCTACTTATTTTCTACTATTTTAATGTCGTTTCTGACTTAACGCGACAATATGCTTCGATTCGATCTACCGTCCTCCATATCTGACGTTTGCTTTCATTCTTGTTACGATGTATGGCGTAGGGTATCTGGCGGGGGATTAGCGAATTTATACCAATTGGCAGTGGGTAGCGGACTGGTTCATACCTATATCATAAGCCCCCTTTTTCTTATCAAATAACATTGTCGTCCTCTCCTCTCGCTCGTCCGACTGCTGAGCCTCCGCAACAAACTTTTATATGTTAACCTAAAGGAGTTAAGCGTATATTTAAGGTTCAAACTCCAGTCTAAAGTTTCTTAGCTATATTACGTAACAACTTTGTTATAGTCACGTGGAGAAGATCATTGAATGTTACTAAGCAAAGACAACGATTAGCTAATCATTAAAACTCTAAAAATTTCGCCAAAGTTATGGAAAAACGACGATGATTTTGAAAGACAACCAACGGAAGATTAACCAGACGAGTCGCAATGGCAGTTGACGAAAAGGAAATAGGCCAGGTGCCTATAAAAACTATGCTTGAGTCACTCCAACAGTCCTTGTCGAGCGCTGCATCATCTCTGCCTGCTCTCGATCCGTCCGAAGACAACACACGAGCCTCCATCATACCTCCAGCCGATGGTATCTCGCTGCTCGACACCAAAAGCGAGATCCTTCTATCCTACCTACAGAACTTGGTATACCTTGTCCTTCTACAAGTTAGACAGCTCTCTTCTTCGACCACAGACAGCTCCCGGCGGAGTACGGAACCAAGCCAAGATGATGTGGTGAAGAAATTGACAGAACTTCGTGTATACCTTGAACGTGGCGTGCGGCCTCTCGAAGGACGACTCAAATACCAGATCGACAAAGTTCTAAAGGCCGCAGATGATCTTGAACGAACCAAGGCGCAAACCGGCGAAAGGGCTGAACGCCGGCGGTCTTCAAAGAGCGCCGGGTCTGATGTTGATACAGCGGATAAGGATGAGAGTGACGAGAGTAATAGCGGCAGCGGCAGTGATGATGACGATTATGACGACGATGAAGAGGATATTGACGAATTGACGTATCGACCAAATGTAGCTGCCTTCTCCCGTGCAGCAGAAGCCCAGGAACAGAAACAAAAAGCTGCGGCGCAGAAGAATGATGCTATTGGTGACGGAATCTACCGACCTCCAAAAATCAAACCTACAGCTCTAGTTGAGAACAAACCCAGCCGGCGTGCAGAACGTGAAGCCCAACGATCTAAGAAATCCAAAGCCATCGACGAATTCGTCAATGCGGAGATGTCGACTGCCCCCATGGTCGAGCCTAGTATAGGCAGCACCATCCGTGCAGGCGGGCGACATGTTAGCACACAGCAGGATAGGGCTAGGGAAGAGGAGCGCAGAGCCTACGAAGAAACCAATTTGATTCGACTTCCTAAGGAAAGTAAAAAGGATCGAGCGAAGAGGGGAGGTAATCGCCGTGGAGGGTATGGTGGAGAGGAATGGCAGGGTCTCGGCGAAGGAGTTGATCGTATTCATCGACTTACGCAGAGGAAAAAGGATGGAGCTGGTAGTGTACTACAGAGAAGCCGGAAGAGAGCTACTGAGGATGGTCCGAGGAGCGATGGGTTTAATATTGGTGAGAAGTTCGAAAAGAGACGGAAGACAATTGCTAGCTGGAAGCGATAATTCTCATCTACGCTGTCTTAATACTTATACATATAAATTCAATTGTGATATACCACCCAGCCATGGACGTCGACTTCATCGACTTCTCTACCTTTTCGATAACTATCTGACCAGGCGGGAGTTTGGCTGGTGACGTCATAGCTGTCAAGTGAAACTTAACAACATAAAAGTTGGCTGAGAGGAAGCCCAGAGTAAACAACGGACAGACAGACAGAAAGACAGACAAGCCATTGGCCTTTCAGACAAGATGGAAAACCCAGGTACGTATCTCTTAACTAGCCTGGCACCGACTTTTCCTATCTAATGTGGATAAATTGTAGTTGAAGAGATCCCGCAGGTGATCCATCTGCTCACCCAGTCTATCCCTTCAGTGCAGCAACAGACAGTTGAAAAATACTTTACGCCCTCTGCCTCAATTACGCATCCATTTCTACACTCTGGTTCATTCCAAGGCAGCCGATGGCTGATCAGTCGGATATTTCTTTTCTATAAGATCATGTCGCCACATGTTGATCTGCAAGTGAAATCAGTAGGTCAGTATCCTACCACAAACGCCCTTGTCGTACATGCACGGAAAGTCGCTCCATATCTAACATGCATTATAGCGTTTGACCGCGATAACTTGCTTTTATACGTCACCGTGTCCCAAGTCTTCCGCATATTCATTGTCCCTTTCTACACCGCACCGGTTACTCTTACTACAGTGCTGCAGCTCGTCAAGGGAGTAGAACAAGATAGCCCAACCCAGCACCGTCGCAAAGTACCGGTTGTTGAGCTTACCAACTCGAATACGGACCTTCTGGCTTCCTCTACGTCAATCCCGGCAGAGGAATACGCTAGCACTACAGTTGAGCCGTGCAGTTCTACGAAGCCGCTGTATTACATCGCTTCGCAGAATGACTTATACCAAACAAACGAGTATGTGAAATTTGTCATACCATATGGGATTGGGGAGGCGTTTGTTCTATTTTGGCATGCGTTTGCTACTCTATTTTGCGTGCTGGCTTCCTACGTCTTTTGGCCGATTGCATGGGCAGAGGAGAAGGGTATACTTCAGGTTACCAGGTTTGACAGTACGCTTCATAAGGCAAAGCAAAATTGAGCTAATGATGAATGATGTTACCTGTTGAGAGTTTATTGGAATGCATGTATATACGTAAATATCAGCCGGACAAATCAGAGCCAATTCAAGTCTATCTACTATTTTATGTAAAGGCATGCAACAATATATACACGCAAGACAGCCTGCAGTCTAGTTGCCACTAACGGATGACCGCGAATCAGCCCCTAAAAGTTCCCTCGCATCATCCTCCTTGTCCACAACAGCCATTGGGAGCACCCTTCCTAGCCCAAAGAACACAAAAGCAGCCCACTTCCAGCGGAAAGGGTTGAAAACCATGACAAAAACAAACCAGTACAGCAACTCAGCATAAGTAAAGAAGTCGAAGGCGCCGGTTGGAGCGAATCTCTTCATTATTCGCGTCATGTCAACCCATCTTTTCATCAAGTATTCGCGCGGACGGCTCAGCGGGTCGATCAAAAACATGAGCAGAAGCCGAGTGTAGATTCCGATGTGGTAATTCCCCACCGTACCAATGGCATTGACAAAGGTGCTATTATTTGTGCAGATGCTAGGGTATGCTGGAGGGAAAATCTGGAGGTACCAATTTGGCGGGTCATAAGGGGGTTCGAATACTTCCTGGGGAAGGAAGGAGAGAGAGGGCCGTATAAACCCCGTTGCCATGATAATGATGTCTGCTTTGACGAATATTTCGTGGCCCGGTCCGGATTTAGGAACACCTTGAGCCCGGTGGTTGAAGGAGATCCCGTCCTCTTCGACAGAAAGGATATCTCCGCGTAACCAGCGAGCCTTACCTGCACGTATCAATTCAAAAAGATCCGAGTTCACCATTGGCGTGTCGGTAAACAATCCCTTGCCAGACGGGGCTATGTCTTCCAAGTCGCGATAAAAGAGCTTGCGCAACAGAGTTTCTGGAATAAAGGATAGAATGGTCTCCTGGCCGAAAATATTGCAGGCAAGGAGGACGTCAACGACCACGTTCCGCGGTATAATCCATTTATCCGACCGTGATAGGACATCTATGTTTGCGGCACCGGCATTAACGGCAAATTCCAAGGCTTCGACAGCACTAGCGCCTCCACCGACAACAACGATACGCTTTCCTTTGGCATCTAACCCATCCAGCTCGGATGAATGGTACACTTGTCCGGTAAACTTATCTTGGTGCGGAAGGGTGGGCATTTTTGGATCACCACAGCTCCCGACAGCAGCGACAATACCGTCAAAGGTGCCATGGGTATCTTCGTCATCGTTGATAACCCATCTTCCTTGGTCGTTCTTCCTGGTCGATTTAACAGGGGTGTCAAATACGGTCTTGTCATCGAGGTGGTAAGTCTTCCAAAGCTCGACTATCTGGTCTTTAATCTGCTGCTGATTCGGGTACGCATCTTTCCACTTGACTGAAGGATGGAATCTGAACATGATACTATGAATTTGCAGAGAAGACGTAGAGTTCACTCTCTACTTGCACGGTTAATATTTACTTGCTTCGAAAGATATTGGGGAACACATACGCTCCAAATGCCGCCTAGGCCTTTGTCTTTGGGCCGAGCCTCGAATATTTTCACATCGAACCCATGGCCAACACAATGAGCCGCAGCTGAAACGCCAGTCAGTCCGGACCCGATAATGGCGACTCGAGGACGGCGTAATCGTTTGTTACGACTAGACGGCGGAGGAGCATTGGTAGCAAAGACGTATACCAGGATGTCCTGGATCAAGGTATAGCAGATAATGAAGCATTGGGAGTAGATATGTGCCAGGGAGCGGCCAACGCTGCTGATGAGGGTCATCTTTAGCTGCGTCAAGTCACTACACGTTATCGGGATGTGGTAGTGATCTAGTTGTTAGCATAGCTGTGCGGGTGCGGGATGATAGGCGTTGCACGGCGACTTGTTTACTAGATGCCCCTCCAACGGCCTATATGTAATATGGTTGGTCACCCTGAAACTTGGATAGCTACGTTATGTAGCCCGGCATGTTATGACGACATAGTTGATTCGGCTGCTAGTGGAGGCTTTTCGGCCCAAAGTTTTTGCAGGTACAGGGAATGTCCGGCATCAGAAAACTGAAGGGATGAAGGCCAATCGGTCTTATACAGTTGGACCCTCGGCCAGAGGGTGTTCTCCAAGGGGATTCATCTCGTAATACTCTGGCTGTGTCTCCTGAAACCGAAGGATAGACGATGTCGGATTGCCGGGCCGGCACAAGAAACTAACTAGTTAACTGGCTAATGGTTAATTAGTTGCAAAACAAAGGGGCTTCAAGCAGTTCTCGAGATCTAAGGTCGCGCGAGCCCCCAGGATAAGTACCTTGCCTAGGGACTCAAGGCGACTGAGTCGGCTGTCGTTGGAAGGGAGATGCAGTGACGACGAGCTCGGCTCTGTCCGGGCGGGCGGCTACTAAGTCACGTGAAGGGCACGGCCCGCCGGCCTAACCAACGAGCGTCTTTCGTTTCCAACTTCACGTTCTCAACTTCAACTTGTGCAGATAACTAATGGATATCATGCATGCCTTCATCTTTGACATTTATCTTGCAGCCGGGTTTCTATTACGAAGTGGTTACCAAGACCGTTGACTCACGAGTCGTTGGCTCATTAGGTTACTCCTTTTCACGCGCGCTGGCATTCGTCTTAGAACCATGAGTTACCATGACAGGCCGCTGTTCTTTGATACCTACATCGCTGCCATCAAGTGTCGCTTTGGGAGTTCCGTCTTGAAGCTGAGCTGGCCTAAGCATATGCAGTAATAAGTGCCCGTCTCAGTTACTATAAGCCATTGCTGAACAGCCAGAAACGGAATCATCGTTTGTTTCTATATGAGCGGTACCGATATGTTGACCTTTTCCTCTAGAGTTTCTTCACCTAGCTTGATATGTTGTGTTATTTCTGCGATATACAACCATTTCTTCAAGCATAGACTAGCCAGATATATTGGATTCAACCTCGATTTTTCATAGATCGAGACGCAGAGTGCCTGGTTCTCTCACCTGGTCACACTATAGATCCACCATCCGCAAAGTAGGTACCTCTGCCTCGCGCTATTTCTCGCATAGTGGAGCCCAACCCTGCGGCATATATATATATATTTGGCCGCAGGATCTGCGATATGGAAGGGCCGTGGAGCTGAGGATACGGCTCAGCAGATCTTGCGAAGATTGTTCGTTGAATCTACAAGGCTAGATCATCACCACTCAAACGCCATATATTGACTGTTTATCGACTTTCACTCTAATTACTCCCAGCTTTGGTATGGGGTCGATCATGGTCCATAGCCACCTAACCTAGGGTGTATGGCTTCGAGCTGCGATTATGCGCCACTAACTTTTTGGTTAACTACGTTATGCCTAGGCCTTCGATCGTATGGTCATGCTTTATTTGTTTATTTATTATACCAGTGCTTTAACGATTCTAGATACATAACCAACGCAATATCTAGGAAGGCACACACAATCACTGACGTGTCTGGCCTATATATTCTTGTCTTTTTCCTCTTGATCAAGAAAATCGTGACCGAAACCATTCCTTTGAAGGCTTCAGGGTCCCTTCGTCTTCTGGCTTGCCTAAAGCCTTGGCTGTTGCACGTTTCAATTCTTTGGATACCTTTATATCAGACGGCTCAGGGCCAAAATAGCGCCCTCCCGTGATCTGGGTAAAGCCAAACATGAGCTTGACGTCCTCCAATTCTGGCACTCCGTGAGTGTCATATGCCTCCCACGAGGGGAGAACAGGCTGGAACCTAGACTTTTTCCCAGTGACTGTGGCTAGTTAGCCCTCGTTTCACATATGGGGAGAAAAAAAAATAACAGCAAGATCTCTGATTGCTTACTTTCTTCAAAGTTAGCCGCCAGCTCATCAAAGGTGATCATATCGCTCATGGCCTGAATAACCTGACCCTTCCATCGAGTAGGGTCTAAAAAGACTCCATGGACAATGTCTCCGTAGTCATCTGTAATGCTTAGGTACGGTACCCTATTATCTCCACCCCAGTGAGGAACCTTATAACTAAGATATCCTTCATCGTCAGGGAAAAAAGGGAAGCCACCAAATGCAGGAGCGATCTCTTTCGCAAGGAAGTTTTCGAGGTACCATGCAGCGTTAATGGGTGTAACAGTCTGGAACTTCCCGCTCTCCTTTGCATATTGTTCCGTCTTGTACTTCACTGCGAGATTTCGTTAGCTAACCAACCGACTAGTTAATTGATAAACAGTGGGGAGGATTGAAGGCTTTCTTTCTACTTACTCTCCATAGCCTTCATCCTGACGATGCCATCCGTCATTTCGACACATGGTGGGCCAGAGCTGTAAACCAGATGTGGCACACCCGCTTGAACTGCAGCGTCGATGATCGATTTACCAAGGTCGAATTCAGTAGGTCCGTTAGGATTGCTCCATATCTCGTCATCTGAGTTTAGATTGAGATATAGTCCCCAGGCGCCCTCGAATGCGCGGAGCATTTCCTCATGATTAAACCCATTTCCCTGTACTACTTCAGCTCCTGCTGAGGCCAATGCCTTACTAGCATCTGAAGAAGGATTCCTAGTAACGGTGCGTATCTTGAAAGATGGATTCTGAAGCAGTGAATGAGCAGCAGAGCCGCCTTGGTTGCCTGTGGCACCAATGATGGTAATAACACGCGGCATTTCCGGTCAAGTTGCCAGTGAATCTCCGCAAGGATTTTCGATGGGGATGTTCAACGAGGGGAATGAGTTGACTTGTCAATTAATTATTACCTGAAAAGCCAAGCGTAGGATTGGGGCCCCTCCCGCCGAGTGTTTCCTCAATCTCATCCAACTAACCAATAAGCTGTCAACGGCTAACGAGCTTCCTCTTGACTCTGAGAGAGCTGTCTTCAGAAGTGTCAACAGAAGACAGCCTCGTATTCTACAGATGGCGTGTCAAGACCAGCCCACTCATGCATGCTACATAGTAACTAGCGAAACAGCCTAGAAATATGCAATGTCAATCGTTCGGCGCCTCGTTTCGGAGGCTCCAACCCTTGTAACATTCACATAACTAACTAATAGTTATCCGGGTGCCCGCTTTCTGGGCTTCGGTGGCAGTGAGGCTCTTAACTTTCGCGTGCTTTATCCTCTCTGAGCATGAGCGCTTGCATAGGCGAAAGTGAGAAAGCCTAACTCGATATATTTTAAAGACTGAGAAGCTGTACTGGAATGTCCTGTAACTAAGGGGGATTAGGAGTTGTGGGGATGATCCCCCAACTGGCTCATCCCGGTTAACTGGAATGTGACGGCAATAAAGCTAGGATGTAGATTCCTCGTCTATTTCTAATTGACCTCCGAGCTGATATCAAAGCTTTTCCCCCTTGACGCAAGGACAAAGATGGGAGGTGCCCAAATCTTCTCAGGGGCCATTACTCACTAAGTTAACTAGCCAACTTCTTACAACATTGGCAGTCGATACTCCAATTCAAAAATATCCATGGACTGTACCTTTCGCAGGGCCTTTTGTGCTCAAACCTTGACCAATGTAAGCACCTTTTGTGAAGTCAATTGGGGTCCTCAATTGTAGTTCTGTTGGGATTAATATTTTCCTACTTTTAGAATGACAGAACATATAGATCTAACTAGTTAACCAAATAGTTAACTAATGGAGCAGGTTCTAGGATAGCGACAGAGAAAAGAACCAAAATTTCTCTCATTAACTAATAGTTAGCTATTCAGCCACGGATCCCGCAGTAGTTCCTTCGCTGTCTTCCTATCTTCAGGTCGCCACTGAAGCATCCCTCTCATGAAAGCTATAAACATCTCCTTACTTTTTCCGTCGAGAAACTCTTCCGACAGCTCTAGACTGACCCCCGTCGGAATTTCTAGGTCCTGTTTCCACTTCCCTGTAAGGTTGTCTTCGTAAGTTTTCCACCAGGTGCACTGAGCGAGAAAATACTTAGTTAATACTCACCATCGCTTGTAAAGAACTCATGGCTTCGTTTCCCACGTTGGAGCATATCTAAAGGTGGTGGCCCTAGAAAACCCATAACTTCTGCAAGATGTGCCCGGGTCGAATACCCTTTGCCATCAGGGTCATTTCCGTAGAAAAGATGTCTCCCCTCAAACAAATCCCACACCTATTTTTCCAAAGTGATTAGTACTGATGATGAGGGAGAGGAAGAAATAGGCAAAGCATACCATGGCACCAACATTCCATATATCGACCGGATAGCTCCAATCAGTCTTCAGCATGACTTCCGGCGACCTATAAACATTTGGCTGTGCATCGTGGTTCCTTTTCTCATCTCCTCGTACAGCAGAGCCAAAATCACTTAAAACCGCTCGGCCAAATACCTTCGGCAAGTCAAAACGGCGTGACGTGTAAATTGGCAAACCATTGACGATTTTGCGGGGTGAAGGGCTCTTCAGCTCAGCTTGGGTAAAACTTTCAAGAATGGACTTGTCTTCTATTTCCTGGAGAATGTTATCGCTTTTAATGTCTAAAGGAATGCAGGTTAGGATAGCTTATTTTGACAAAGCCTCGAGGATAACTCTTACCTGTATGGACAAGCTTGCATTCTGTGTGTAAGTAGTCAAGTGCAAGAAATATTTGCAAGAGACCAGATTTGAGGAGATCTTCAGTAAATCGATAGTTAGGATTTCGATAAAGGAGGTCCCTGAAGCTCTCCCACATTGGCTTCTGAACAAGACACGAATGGCTACCACATGATGAGGAGATTGTGAAGATATCTAGTGCTTTTCTGATATGAGCATGACCAGGGTGCCGTGAACTCCCTTGGTTTAGTTTCTTATAGATCTGAAACTCTTCCTGGTTATCTTCGCCGAGAGTGTAGATTTTGAGTGTCACATATCTATGACCTCTGGTTGTTTCAGTAGGTCAGTGTTGGATTACGATAAGTAGACATGCAATGACTTACTCAAGATCGCGAGCCAGCCATACAGTCGAAGTAGTCCCAAAACCAAGTTTACCGATAACCTGGTATCTGGAAGTAAGCACGTCGCCGATGTTAGCAGGATAATATTGTCCCTGTTTGAATTGCTCAAAACGTTCCTCTTCAAGCACCACCGAGGGAGGAACGGTCTCGAAACCGCCAGTAGGAAAAATAATGGGAACTAAGGGAGGTTTTCGAAGCGCCTTTGTAGCCCATCTCATGATATTAGCCATGCTGGGCATTCAAAAGAAGAAGAGGTTGGTTTAAGTGAGACAGGGGTGATAACTAACTAGCGTGATGAGTTTACTTTTATCTCACGACGGCTGAGATTGATATCATCAGTAATGGTTATAAATACTTGATCAGTCTGCTGCATTCGCGTCAGATCAGATCCAGAAAATAGCTGAAGAACAATCTCTTCAGTCAGAATCTACGTTTATATTGCGCTATAGCCACAAAAATGGAAATGGCATACGATGATTCGGCTTGGGAACGCAGTGACACGATCTTTGATAGCTTCAAGAAAAAGGCCTCAAGCCCGGATGTTCTGCGAGCTGTCACTGAATTTATGGCAGCTAAATACCCCGTGTCTCAACCGAATGACCGTGCCCGTATAATAGGCGTTGGCGCCTTCAACTTCTGTTATCGTATGGAGTTTGGTAATGGAACATCCTCCCTTTTACGCTTCGCGTCCCCTGGGCGTAGTATGTTCCCAGAGGAAAAGACCCAAGCGGAGGTTGCTATCATGCTCTACCTCAAGGACAATACTGATATCCCTATTCCAACTATCTTTGACTGGGGCATGGAAGGACCCTGTGATATGGGCCCGTATATCCTGATGGAGTTCGTCAGCAGCGCTTCCAACCTTACGGCAAAGCTAAGAAAACCTGGCTATGCCAGAGAGGACCGTCCTGTGCTCGACCCCGATATCAACGAATCAAAGCTAGAGCTTTTGTATGGGCAAATGGCTGACATTACGTTACAACTGTCGAGGTGTTCTTTCAACAAGATTGGCTGCCTAGCTGCTGGGCCCGGCGGCTGGGCTGTCACAAAACGTCCATTGACAATGAATATGAACGAGCTTGTCCAACTCGGTGGTTATCCCAAGGATTTGCTACCATCGTCTCCTTTTACATCTGCATCCGATTATTTAAAGAACCTTGCTGAGACTCAATATACACATCTATCAACACAACGTAACGATGCCATCTGCTCGGAGGAGGATTGCCGCCGTAAATACACCATCAGAAAGATAGTACTTAAGCTCGCAGAACAGTCAAAACTCATGGGTCAGGATAGCATCGACCACAACGAGTACAGACTTTTCTGTGACGACCTCCGGCCAACGAACGTACTTATCGACGAGAACTCCAAGGTCGTCGCCGTGATTGACTGGGAATTCACATATACTGCGCCCTCTGAATTCACGGATAGTCCTCCATGGTGGCTACTTTTGGAAACACCAGAAGAATGGCCTTCAGGCATATTAGACTGGGCTGTAACTTACGACTCACGGCTTAAAGTCTTCCTTCGAGCGATGACGCGGCAGGAAGATATCGCAATCCGTGATGGGCGATTATCTGATAGGGAGCGGCTCTCTGAAAGGATGTATAATAACTGGAGCACTGGTGCTTTCTGGATCAATTACGGTTTACGGAAAAGCTGGGCTCTAGATATCGTTTGGCCCTTCATCGACCGGGCGATATTTGGTGGAGAACAACCACACGAGCAGAGAATAGCCTTGCTTGAGAATAGAATCCAGCTCACCGACGGCGAGCGTAAGGAAATGGATGCCTTCGTTCAACGCAAGTTAAGGGATTTGGCAACTTAGAATGGAAAGGAAATGAAAGTGATGGACCTCAAGCCCATTCATGTTTTGCAGATATGATGAAACTCTATAAACTGATACATACAGGAAACCATGACGCATCTTGCTATTATCGCAATGTAACATTCATAGATGAAGAAGGTAGTCTGAATTGAGTGTTGATATGACTCGGCCTGGCATAGATGGTGATATCAAAAGAAACTCCCCTGAGGGAGAATGAGATCGGTAGTCAACAGCGAGAGTGTGCTGTCCAATAAAAAAGTTACCTTTATATTATTGGACGATACTCTTCCAATTTTTATCATTGGCTGAATAAAAAAAACTTCCAAATGATATTATTTGCCAGAAATTCCCAACATCCATCCAATGAAACCTGCCTTCTGAAAGTTTATTCCTCCATCAACTCCTCCCATGCGGCTTAAAAACAGGATAAACACAAGCAACAGCCAACAGCACCGACGAACTGACAACACACGGAGGGAGCCAGCTAACCTACTTACCCGCTAGCGAAGGGTTAGTCAACGGAGTAAGTGATTTATTACCAATTTCCAGGTTGGGCCGGCCTCCTTACGGCAGCGCGGTAGCTGGAAAACCCTGCCTTCGCTCGTTAACCACCCATCGTTTAGACTCGTTTCCGCACGGAGGAGTGAACCGATACTCAATAGCTGAGGATTACGGCCCATTGCGGACAAGCCACTACTGCTGAGACGATGCTACCTTCAGGATGATATTTACGCAGCCTAAATCTCGCTCCGCCAGATACCAGTTTAATCAGCATAACGCACCCGGCTCACCAAAAACTTTGACCAAACGGCGAAGCGAAATACCGAGTAAAAGCCGAAAGAACAATGTGGAATACCACTTCCGTCTATACGCCTGTCCTCAATAACTTCCTCGACAGCATTGGAGGTCTTTTACAGAGCCGTGATGGCACCAAGCTCCAGGACTTCCTGCAGCTTGAGCCCCCCTTGTCTGCCATTTACAACCAGATGACGACCGAATTGCGGCAAAGATACCCGGCTGGAGACAATAAAGACGCAGAATTACTCTCAAAATGTGAAAGCCTGACGGCTGGAGGGCAGCTAGGCAGTTCCTGGCCTGCATTCCCTCCCTTCATGCGTCTATACTTGACATTCTTGAGAGATGTCAATGTGGACAACCTTCTAGAAACATACAACCTGCTCAAAGGTTTGCTAAAGTAGGTTAGATACTGTTCTTACACCAGCTCTGCTCTTCCTGATACATTCTAATACTTTAACTGCAGCCAGAGCGTGATTGCTCTCGGTGATAGCCAGATGGGCGTTGTTATCCTGCCAACCGTCTTTTACCTTAGCAAGGTGCTCTCGAAACTTGCAATCGGGCTTGACCGCCAGCCAGAGCTAATAGCACACCTCCTCAGGGACGAAGGAGCAGAGTCGGGGCAGGGCGAGACTGGGGAGAAAGTGACGCTAGTGGAAAAGTCGACAAATATCGTTCGAGAAGCGTTTATCAAATGCCTAACCGACAGAAGCGGTACCTCGGGCATCCACGCAAAACCAGAAGGAAAAAGAGCAGGGATATATTTGATGGCGAATCTGTGTCTAAAGCTCCTATTCAAGGTACATATCATGGCCAACGTAATCTGGGCTCATCAGGCTGCTAACGTGAGAACTGTATTTAGTGCGGGAAGCTGCGTAATGCGGAGCAAATGTTTGCAAGCATCAACTCACAGTCACCACCCTTGGAATACTTTCCTGCTTCGCAAAGGGTAACCTATCTCTACTACCTTGGGCGATATCTCTTATCCAACAATTTATTCTACCCCGCCATGATCGTCCTTGAGGCGGCATACAATCAATGCCACCGGCAGGCGCTGAAGCAGAGAGGTCTAATCCTCACGTATCTTATACCGTGTAATATCATCCTTGGCCGTTTCCCATCCCGAACGCTCCTCCAGAGGCCAGAAGCCGAAGGACTAGGAGATAGATTTATACCTCTCTGCCGGTATATTGCCAAGGGAGAGATACATGCTTTCAGAGATTATCTGTCGGTCAGCTCGCCGTCTTCCGAATGGTTCGCCAGAAAGGGACTCTTACTCCCTCTTCGGAATCGATGTGAGATCCTGGTATGGCGGTCACTTACACGAAAAGTGTTTATTCTCGCAGGCTTTCATGGAGACCAGAAGATGCAGACCCAGCGAGGACCGCCTCCTTTTCTCTACCTCCAAAAACTCGAAGCTGCTGTTCGCTGGCTCGACAGCCGTGCACGACATGATCCACATTTGCTACTAATGTCACCGCAAACCAGACAAGCCGGTGTGCAGCTTACCTCTTTTCCATTAGATCCTGACTTTATCCCAGAAAATAACACCCCCTCCGAGATGGCAGATGACTCTACATTTCACGACTATAACCGTCCCGACTGGTACTTTGACCACACCGGTCAGCATGTCAATGTCAACAGCCCTGACGATCGCCCGGTTGACGGGATGATTGATGATATGGCAGGGGTCCCTGATCCATACTCGACGCTTATTCCAGAAGAAGAAGAAGCAGCAGAAGCAGAAAAAGAACACCAACAGCCTGCTATTACCGGCAGCGAAGGAGCAGAAATCGCTTCCTCCCCGCTAATGCAAGAACTCGAGAATGTTCTCGCCTCCCTGCTTACCCAGGACCTGATGCGGGGCTATCTCACTCACAAGAACCCACGGTACGCCATTCCCGGAGCTCGACTGAAGGGAGCCCTTCCTACTGGTTTTCCAAACGTATGGCAGACAATCTATGCACGAGAACGCGAAGATGGCCAGATTCCTGGATGGGTCAAACCCCAGGGCTCTGGCGGCAGTCGTAGGGCTCCAGGGGTGATTCAAGGAGGTGGCGGACGAGTAGTGAACTTGAGTGGCGCCAGATCTATCAGCGAGATTACCGGGTCGAGCTGACGTGCGGCGAATACATATGTACAACATCCCCTTAACCACGCGAGTGTGCTCGAATACCACCATATCCACCTGCCTAACCATGCCGAGTAAAGCGTCTTCTGAGGGCAGTATTCTCCTTTTTTTTTTTTTTCTTAACATGTGTATCTTAAGCTACATTTTATTTTATTGCATTTACCTGATTCTTACATCTAGTCTCTTGTATCTCCTACTCTCTCCCCCTCTACTCTGTATATATATAGATTATTCAACCCCATCACCCGCCAACTCTTCCGAATTGGACCTTTCAACGTCTCAAGCAGCTCGACCCAGCTTCCATCCTCGAGACACTGGACGCCGTCTCTCCGTCGGGCCCGTTATTTCTCACGTGCTCCTTATGGGGCTCATCGTCGCCACCTCCACCCATCTGGGCGATGTAAAGGAGCGGCGGTTCCACAGATCAACATGAGCTCGCTGCATGGACATATGGCAGGACATGCAAGGTACGCGGTATATAGCGATCGTATTAATTCGATAACATTTACGGAGTAAATGCTTGAGTCTCGAAAGGCATTTCTATTCTGTTTTGGTGCAGAAGCGTCAGTAGCACATATCAATGACGGCCCAACAACGGAGTTGATAACCCTAACTAGTAACTAAGTTAACCAACAAACTAACTCGCGAACGAACTCGCCTACAAAAATAAGAATAATAGTTAAACAAGTCAACAAAAAATTAAAAAATTAAGATTAAAATTAAAAAAAAAAAAAAAGAGGGAGAAGCAAGTTCTTCCTTGTTGTGTCTCACCCGCAGGGTTGTTGCCACCTCAGTTGCATGCCGACCAATACCAGGCTCCAATTGTATAAATAATAATCTCAAGCCCGATGCAGGCCCCTCCCCTTTGGACTAATACTAATAATGACCCAGAAGCCCAAGTGTTCCCCCTATTCCCCTTCGGCTTTATGTTGATCAAAGGGCGAATACGGTGATACAGTGATTATATCCAGTCATTCGTTTGTTGATTCAGTCATTCGTTTGTTGTTTTGCAACTTGACATTCACTCCTTAACCTAATATATACGATACATAATAATAGCTAATCGATACGACTTTCGATAATATTCGTCTGCTACGATGCGTTTGTCTTCCCTGCCACTGTTCGTCTGGCTAGCGGCCACAGCAGTCACCTCGGCCGGCTCATGCAGCAATGGATACGTATCGTGCCATCCAAAGGGTGCAGAGCTGGGAAACCCCCCTGACATCGGCCCAGACATGAAGGATTTCTATGTAGACCTGGTCCAGTCTGTTAAGGGCCATGGACATGGCCGCGAGAAGCGATCCCTCAACAAGAACCATGGTGTCATTGCGCAAAGAGACGAGGAGGGGGAGCTCTGCTGTGAGTCTTTTACATCCTATTTCCATTTGCTATGTTTATATGTATCTGACAGGGAAGGGAAAAGGCAACGGACCAGGCTCGGGGATACAATGCCTGTTTCTGGACGGAGCGAAGTTCCCATTCTGCTGGGTGAGTTTGCTCTGCACACCTCTCTATGCTGGGTATCCCAAGGAAAATACTGACACTTTTCAGGATCCATTCACCACCAACTTCTTCTTCAGAGATGGATCCCATGGCAATGCGGCGACGGGTGACTATCAGACGGGCAACGGTGACAAGGTCAACCTGATCCATGGCAACTATACAAAGCCTGATGGTACGGAAGAGAACATCTACGGCGCGAAGGAATCTGCTCCAGCCCTCAGCACCCTCCCAGTCCCTACGCCGTTCACCGGCTCCGGAGTTGGCAGCCCGATTCCAGGAGACAAGTTGGGCAATGTAGCAACTTCTGGGGCAACTGCTCCGCCAACCTCATCCACCAAATCTCCATCCGGATCCAAACCGACCACACCAGCAGACTCCAGTAGCCAAAAGATGGAGTTGGGATTCTCCCTGGTTGCGTCGATGGCTATGCTAGCCTGTGCTCTTTTGTTATGATTCCTGTCTTTCTAATCATGTTCATAACGTGATCATAGTTTCAACATACATACAATAATAATAGACAATTTCAGGCTTGAGCCAAGATAGAAGTCACCTAAGAAATTTTTTCGAAACATGTACGCCGAGTGGCCCAAGATGGCCTGATTCCAGACTATCCTAGCCATTCACATCAGGACACATAAACGCTTCAATAACAAGTGGGCTCAAAAAGTCACCCGATCTAGCGCCGTTGACACCCTATTTCTTTTTCTAGATTTCACACGTTTGACTTTCGATACGGTCCGTGCCGCCTCCTAGTTTCACTGGTTAGTCACCGAGATAACTAACGGCCGAGGGCCTCATAGTTATCAGTTAGGTGATTTCTTCTTTAGTTCCGGACGAAGTATGCTGGCGTATATATTATCTATCCCACAGAGGAAAGATGATTAAGATCAAATACTAGTATCAGTACCTAAGCCGAAAGATACGTCATCCCAAACCAAGCTTAATCAATATCTTTCCAAGAAAACAGAATCTCTAAATGATTCCATGGCCAAAGGACTGAAGTTTTCATTTTCGGGAGCCGCCTTCGCATAGCTCCCCAACTGCGGCATAAATTCATCTGGCTCCCGAGCTATCTCTCCTGTTGCTGTATTAATAGGGCTCATAAACCTAAAAGAGCTGTCTGCGCCTGGAAATATAGAACTGTCGAAACATGAATCCGCGTTTTCTTGAGGTTCTGAGTTCGTGTACCTATACCCACCAGTGAGAGGTGAAAAAATCTCTGATGCTGGATATATACTCGCTGGTCGCTCTGGGCTTGACTTCTGTCGTTTATGCTGTGATCGCCTAGTGTTCACCACATCCGTGACGATATGTGACAGCCGGTATAGCCGGCGATTGTGTGATGATTCCGCTCGGCGGTCAGTTATAGTCTTCAACATCTCAACATACTCTTGTAGCATGTCGAGGTCTGACTTTGATCCCTGACCGCAGAGAATGGCCGACAGTACTTCGTAAAGATAGAGCGGTGGAAGCGACGCAAGAAAACTAGTTATACCAGACTCAAATCATCAGATTTTCACATCTTCTAGCCAACAGACCACAAAGACAGGAGAAGGGTATACTGACAATGGAAAAATAGCATGATTTCCTTGGTCCGGAGGGGAGTTCCAAAGGCAAATCAAATATTTCATACACATTTTCGCGACTTCTTGGCCCCGTTGAAATATGCCGTCTGGATGTTTCTTATGTGGCCATATAAGTAGCAGCTGGACGCAAAGATACCTAATGGCAAGCTGGAGATTTGGAGCTGAGCTTTTAGGAAAATTCTGAATTTTGTCAAAGTCAATTCCGGAGTCCGCTAGCCAGCTCTGAAGTCTTGACAGGATCGTGGTTGCGAACTCTCGAACTTGGTCTTCATTCTTTGCCTTAACCTGGTTAGCATATACCTCTAAATAGACTGTCTCTTCAATCTTAGCCATTTCAGTTTTCGCGACGAGGCAAGATACCACATTCCTTTCAGAGGGCGTCAGACACGGATCGAAATACATATCAGTGGCTGGTATGTTTGGAGATGAGCCCGCTGTCCAGCAAACTGCCTTGTCAAGAACGTATAGGCAGTACGAAATATTACGTCTCTCCTCAACATCTTCGTCCGTGAGGCCACCTCGGAAGGAGTTCCATTGGTGAATACCAATTGACTTCGCACATTGAGCAGCAAGAGCAAAGAGAGTCTCGGAGAGGCCTTTAGAGAGGTGCTCTTGTGCAACTATATACTTCACGTTATCAGAAAAGGCTATATAACTTCGAATGTAGGCGGGGGCAAGAGAGCACAGTTCAGAAAACACATACCATGGATAACAGTGCCTGGACGTTGATTAAGCGAGGCGAGATGAGTTGGTCAATATTTTTCAAAGCCCGTTTTGCGTTTGCCAAAAAGCCTTCAACGATGTCACAGTCAATTGATGAAGGCTTGCGGGCCTGCTTGCTCGGCATTGGCTCCCGTCGGTATGAGCATAATGAGTCCGCTGACATGGCCATGAGAACTAAATTGTTACAGCAAATTATAGAGGCGAGATCCGGATCTGGTGACGTAGATTGCCGCAGATTAGTAGCCATTCTAATGAACCTTTCTTTTGTCCAAATGGGGAAATGATGGTTAGTTGTTGCAAAGTATGGCCCAATCATGGCATCCAAAATGGCAAATGGGGGGTTTGTAGGTGGAGAATTTTCCCTGCTCAGTTCTTCGTCTCGCTGATCAACTAGAAGGCCGACCTTGCGCTGTGCTTGCAAGATGCCTTCCTTCAAGGCATGGCTCTCGATATCAGGGATCTCAGAGATTTCATCCTTTATGTGGAGCATTATCGACTCAAGAGCTGTAGGACCAAAGAATACCCTATCATTATCTGGGCCTAAATGGTGACGACCAAGCGGCGCCGTAAACACGGGTATTTTTGAGGAATCTGCGGACTGCTGAGGAGATAACTGGGGTGTGGCCCTTGAAGGACTGGCCGGGTATCTTGAGGAGGGAGGCGAAACGACCAATGACCCCTCGAAAAGCCGTTTTAACGACTTTTGTGTGTCCGCTATCGAAGCCTTTCAACAGAAATCGTTATGATACTGTACAGAGACACCTCCCTGGACGGCGCTCGGCTTACCTCTAAGCTCTGAAGACGGCTGCCCATCCCTATGATTGTATGGCTCCTAATAATCGTAAGATGGAGACATCCATGCGTGAAGAAGTGACGAGTCACGTACAGGAGGGTTGTTTGATTACACCTTTTGCCTTGACCAGACCACTCGCACTGCAAACCGAGGCGGTTACAGTTTCTGCAGGAGGGTTTCTCCCTACTACAGCGTATCTTTTTGGCCCGGCACTGGTCGCACACTGATAGAATTAACTTGTGGATCGACAACATACCCAGGTGTGCCAACTTACCTGTGTATTCATCTCTGCCAGGTTCGTTAGCCATTTTCCGAAGCTTGTCAGACAAGGCGTGTGTTGACCGCGTGAAACCACTGACTAGTTAACTATTAATGAAGAGGTCGACTGTGGGCAAAACGTAGTTATATCTGAGACATCCCCTAGAAGCAGTAGACCCCACCATTCATGTTGCTGCTGAAGGATGTGATGTATGTTACTGTCACGGAGTACAGTGCATTCTCATCGGCATGATGTGATGCGAGGCAGTATACTCGGGGTTGCTCTTCTGCAGCTCTTGAACAGGGAGCCCTTGACACTGGATAAACTAGATTGGCTTCTCTCCAGTATCTCTGGTAACAAGAAGTGGTCCTTGTAAAACTCGCCAGACAGGTTGTCGATAAGTATTCTACCCTATCTAGATAGTCTAACACAGATGGGCTGCGACGTCAAACTGTACCTACAGAGTAGAATGTCGAATGTAGTGCCTATAACGACTAAGCATGTAGCTATGCATGTTTTAGCGTGATCGTCTCTCAAGTTAACTAACCCGTTAGTTAACTAGTTGGGCCTACTTGCGAATCAATTGGTCAGCGGGAGAAGTTGGCAGGATCTACATATAAACATAGCAAGGCTGGGGAGCTCGTCCCCCGATCAACGTTGACATGGAATGTATTCATAAATCCGTCCGTAGAATCCTTGGTACTTCCGGCCCAGTCGCACTTCCCGGGGTTTGCAGCTGAGCTGAATGAACACGAGATCGAAGTGCCGTGGTTAGCGGGGCCCATATCCCGCTTCCGGGTCATGATCAACGCTGTCATGGGCTGGTAGAGATTGCTCCGGGTAATATTGCAGGCCAGAACGTAGGACAAGAGAAGAAGATGACAGAAGAGAGCGGCTGAGACACTCCATCTAACTAAGTGGTTGCAGCAGGAAAGACGGAGCGGAGAACATCCTCCGCAACGGCTAAAGACTGGGAAACTCGCATGGTTCTCGGATGTCTCAAAAGCCGGCACAGGAAAGGAGCAGCAAGCCGATAGATAGGCTTTACGGAGTTAAAGCGCATTTAAAAAGGATTTATCAGTTAGGAGGGTTCAGTATTAAAAGTCTGCCCAGGTCATGCCATGTTGAGGAAGCCAGCGTTTGGCTAACTAACGAATCGGATAAGCGATAACCCGAAGATGGCGTACCTAAGCGGTTTCTGCTGCCAGACCCCATGCCAACACTATCAATAACACTGGCCACTCCACCATCACTCCATAGACAAATATAATGTTAGAGGCTAAATTTTACAGCGTTGTATATATCAGTTCTATATGGCACTGGGGTATTTATTTGGCTGCTCAGCCACCGTTTTGCTCTTTCGTTGCGATTCCGGCCGGGTGAGCGAACAGTCACGTGATGGAGTAAACGCCAAGACCTCGTGGCTTAAGGTTCCCCGCAACTTTCGCGGGAACGGGACCCGGGCGGCGATCGCCCCGATTGGCTCCGAGCATACCGAAGGTTCTCTCTACGTCACTCCAAATAACTCTTAACGGCTTGAAGAGAGGCGTACATGGGCACTTTTACTCATAGAATGCTCTTAATAGCTTTGGTGGAGCTTTGGAGTAGACCTGGCTTACACTGACCTCGAAAACTCACAGATTGGAATCAAAGGATGGACACAGACCGGGATCTCTTTGGTAAAGTACGCGTATATTCTATAGAAAGGCCATCAACAGGCGATATCGTGCCACGCGGCTATACCTGCTAACATTTTCTACGGACGGTTTTTGTTACCGGTGGCTCTGGCGGATTAGGGAAAGCAATTTCCAACGCAGTGGCTTCACGGGGTTTGAAAGCTCTCCAAGCTTGAACGGTAGAAAATATACATTGACTATTTACTGATATTCAGCCTAAGGTGCACATGTGACAATATTTGCGCGGCGACCTGGCCCTCTGCAAGATGCGAAGAACGAAATAATTAGGAATTGTGCGGATGCTAGTAAACAAGAGATAAATGCGGTGGTTGTTGATATGGCTGATGCCTCTGCGGTTTGTTGCCCTGAAATCATTTGCCAATATATTATTGTCTTTTGCACTGACTATAAAACAGGTTGCCGAAGCATTTAAATCCCAGCCTCGAATAGCCGATTTTCTGTATTGCTCTGCTGGCGGAAACCATGCAGAGAACGGGTTTTTTCTCGACCTACAGCCTGCACAGCTTGATTCTTGCATGAAGAACAATTATTATTCAACTGCTTATGCTGCGAAAGCCATGTTGGATATTTGGGTTAAGAATGATAAAACTCCAATAGCTATCAACGAAACACCGAAAAAGTATGGCCCAAATATCAGGAAGATTGTCTTTATAAATAGCGCCGCGGCGTTTTTGGGGCTGCCTGGGAGTGTCGCCTACACCCGTAAGCTCACTATTCCCTGGAGATCCAATTCTGTGATCATTACCTAACATCATCCCATATAAAGCCGCAAAAAGCGCTGTTCGAGCACTAGCAGACACGCTCCGTTTTGAAGTCCTCCGGCACAACTCTCCAACTACCACTTATACAATTCACATTGCCTTCCCGGCTGACTTCATATCCCCTGGGTTCGTGCTTGAACAAGATACCAAGCCTAACCTCACCAAACGCATACAAGGAACCAACGTGCCTACTTTTTCGGAACTAGAAAAGAAATTTCCATCCTCTGAAAAGGTCGCCCTGGGTATTATCGCGCGGGTAGAAAAGGGCGACTTTATCATCTGCGAGGATTCATTGGCTGCGAGTCTTTTGTTTACCAATATGACAGGGTTAAGTCCGAAGAGGGGTTTTGGGATTGTAGATTCATTGATGACTGTTGTGATGGGATGGTTCGTTGTGCCGATCCTAAGAAGGAGGTGGGAGAGCATGTGTCGAGAAGACAGTAGTCATTAATATCGATGAAGCAAAATCTGTCCTTCTTTGCTAAAGAAAAGCTCCAGTCTCTTGAGGCTATAACTAGTTACGAGACTAAAAGATTGTCAAATAGAAGGCTTAGTTGGTAAACCCCGAGATATCACAGATTGGACAAGGAAGCGCCTTTTTTAGCCTATTTATTTACTGGAACTAAGTCCGGCGAGCTATGGTATATTCCTTCAACTCTTGATTATTTTGAGATTAGAAAGTGAATATGTATCTAGATAATCACGTATCTTCTGCCATAGAAAGAATTTGCTCTTCTACCGCCGGCCAAGTTTGTTTCCGCAGAGTATACAAAAGCCACCAATTCCCAGAAGCGTCTTTTCCTATCACCACACCAGTGTTTCGTGTTGCATAGTCTCTGGTCCCAGTACCCTGAATACAAGACGGTCTGCCCAGCTGATTACTTCGCTTGTCCAGCGACATTCCTTCTCTTCGGACTGCAGAAGAGAAATCCACTTGAAAAAGCTTGGCCTTGACCCAATTTGATATCATTATCATATACATGTTGGGGTTTCCAAAGAGGGCTGGATGATGTGCATTGTCGAGCGTGTTTCTTTGAATAGCATCTAATGCTTGGAGCTGCTCTGGAGTTCGTTGTTGTATAAGAGACTTGCGGACTTCGGATGCAGTAAAACTTAGAGGCTTGGAAAGAACCTGGCGAACGGAAAGAAACGTCAGAGCTGCAAATACTGCATTAGTTACTAATGCAGATGTAGCTGATGGTATGTGGCCAAGCTCTGCTAAAACGGACCGGCAACAGTATGTATTCCGCATGTTGATCGTGCAACTGGGAGAAGGTGATTCGGCTTGAAGAACCACTTTTGTCCACCAAGCAAATAGAACATCTCCTTCGCTAATAAAGGGGAGTCTGCTGCTGTCGCCGACATGATTTGATGTAAGTTCGTCAATAGCCTTATCACGCATTTTATGTAAGTATTTGGCTGGCAAGAAAATAACGCGATCCTCCTCCCTGCGATGCCAAAACAACTCAACAGTCAATATATAGCGCAATGCAAACAAGAACCATGCAAAACCCATCAGCAGCGTGTCAGTAAACACATATTTTTGTAGTTGATTTGTTTTCGTCTTGCTGAGACCGGCCAATGGGTCATGAAAGAATCCGATAAAGGGCTTCACTCGATTTTCCTGCCCGCGCAGCACTGCCGTCCATGCATCCAGGATATCATTAAAGCCTACCATGTCCATTAGACTGTGTAGGAAAGAAATAGTAACAAGTGTAGCATCCTGAAAGACAACAATTTTAACCCCCAGTTGGGGGCTATCCGAGCATAGCCAACCCTCCAAGCGATCGGGGAAGTCTGCAGTTCGGATGAAGGACCTGAACTCCGGCGTAGCGGCATATGCAGTGCTAAAAACAGAGGGGCGACCGGCAGCATGAAGGTTATGAGGTTGAGCTAAGCGTGATGCTTGCGGATGTTCAGTCAAATTGATGCCATATCCAGTTGTAGAGAATGCAAAACCAGGTCGCTCGTTGCTGAAAGATTGTGGCACATGGTATTCTAATCCTCCGTCTGTATTCCTACGGATTCGAGCGCCAAGCTTCCGCCAATCTCCTATTTCGAGCAGCCGAGATAAAGCACGCCGCAGCTTGTCGTGATCTAATATATCATCAAAGCGAAATACGATATCGAAAGAGAGGCCTCGTGTATGGTGATCATCATCCCAGTAATGAAAAGGAATGATGGTGTCTGTTGGTACTGTAGGTGGAGAGGCACGTTGCCTTCCAAAGGGAAGAAAACCCATTGAAATTCCTGTGATCTATTCAAAACCCGCACTGCCAGAAAATATGAACGCCTATGCACCGACGTAGTCTTTATCCCGTCACTAGATTATTAGCCATCTACATCTGCCTTTCTTTGCTGGACCCACTGGACCGGGCGGCCCGAACCTTCCCCGTTAGCGGCTTCCGGAACCCGGCGTTCCTCTGGTCCACCTAGTTACTTAAGCAGGCACGTGATAACCAATGCCCTAATTAGTTAGATAGCTAGTTTCCGCGAACCACCGGGACGGTGCCGCTCTTTCCCTTTGTTCCCCTTTCTCCCCCTTAATCCTTCGCCTGGATGCACATTCATTTTTGTTATCTCATCTGGATAACTTATCCTCAGCCTCCAATTCCTGGGAAAACTGCCCTTTCTCTCAAGTTGACGCGACTTTGACATAGGCTGAGAGATAAACTAACTAACTAGTCGATCGTACTAGTTATTTTAGGCATGAGCGCCTCAAAGCTTGAAACTAGTGGAGTTAGTGCCGAGATTTCTACGCCCGCTGGTCCGGGAGAGTCGGATCCAGAGCCAATATCAGAGAAGACAGAGATAGAGAAAGGAGAGATAGATGCAGCAAACGATGTCGAGACATCGCCAAAGAAGTCGCTGGCCTTCAAGCTGGCCTTTGTAGGCCTTGCTTCTAGCCTTTTTGTCTTTCAGTTGGATGCAACGGCTCTTGGTATTGCCCTCCCGGTGAGCAATATACAAATCTTTCCTCAACTCTATCTTATATATTTTATCCATACTGATATTTTTGATAGACCATAGCTGCTGATCTGGGGGGCCAAAGCTTAGAGTCCTTCTGGGCGAACTTGTCCTATACACTATGTGGCATTGCTATGCAACCGATTTGGGCGAGTATTTCCAACGCATTTGGTCGAAAACCGCCTTTATACGTGTGCATGACACTGTTTTTCGTCGGCTCAGTCGTTTTTGCCGTTGCCAAAAATATGAACACTATTATTATTGGCCGAGTGCTTCAAGGCTTTGGTGGAGGTGGAATCGATGTTCTAGTGGAGGTGGTCATCGCCGATATGACGACACTGCAGGAACGCTCCAAATATATTGGCCTGATGGGCATTGTGCTGGCTATCGGCAATATAATGGGACCATCTGTTGGCGCACTTTTCGCTACCTATGCTAGCTGGAGATGGATTGGATGGGTAAACCTGCCGTTACTAGGGATTGGCATGCCCCTAATATACTTCTTCCTCAAATTACGGCCAGTCCCACTGGATAAATCACTTGCCAAAAACTTGGCCCGCCTGGATTGGATTGGTATGACGCTCGTTATTGTTGGTATTACTATACTAGTTTTACCTATCAGCTGGGCCGGTTCCCTGTTCCCGTGGTCGTCCTGGCAAACTCTTGTCCCAATGCTCCTGGGGTTTTTAGTGCTTGCTATATTTGGCTTCTACGAAGCAAAACCCGCAGCCCCTATCATGCCCCATCGCCTTTTCCACTCGAAGACTGCAAATATGACATTAGCAGGAGGCTTTATCCACGGCGCAACTCTGGTCTCGCTTTTACAATATTTGCCCCTGATTTACCAAGCCGTACAGCTAGAAACTCCGATATTATCCGCCGTTTCTCTATTGCCTACTGTCGTTACAAGTGTATTGCTTGCAGCCACCTCAATGATGATGGTTCCTTTTTTTGGAGGATATGTATGGCTTCTACGGCTTTCATGGATTATACTCACACTGGGAACCGGCTTGCTAGCCCTTCTCCGTGTAGAATCAACATCATCAATGCGTCTTGGACTTCCTATCCTCTGGGGAGCAGGCGTTGCTCTTCTCCGTCTTAATCTTTTACCCATGCAAGCGAGCGTGAAAAAGGTCGACGACACGGGCCTAGCGATCGGGCTATTTCTCACTATTCGTATGTTTGGAGGGTTGATCGGGTTAACCATCGCTTCGTCAATCTTTAACACTGTCTTTTCGACAACCATATCATCCTCCTCAGCACAACTTACAGGTCCTCTGCTGCCCCTCCGCGATGCCTCCAATGCCGTCGCCTTTATTGAAAAGCTCAGATCTCTAGACATTTCCCCTGAAACGCTTCTTCCTGTTTTGAAAGTCTATCTAAAATGCTTCCAGACGATATTTTATACGATGACAGGGCTCGGTGGACTAGGTTTTGTGACTTCAATATTTATCGACGAGATTGCCCTGAGCGGAGAAAATCTTGGGAACCAGCGATTCGAGGAATAATACGGATTGGTAGCAATGGGAGGTTAACGTCGTCTAATTTCACACCCCTAAACGTAACGGGGCATATGTAAGGATGTTTTTGTAATATAGCACGTATGATAGATCAGGTTAATTGAGTAGCTAGTAGAAAGTAGCTGCGTTTAACTATCCAGTCTTTTGATAATCCATTGTGTCCCAGTGTTTAGGCTGGTTAATGACATCCTGCAAATCCTCCATAGCACCCTGTAGGTCATCCAAACCTAGATGCAATGCCAATTCGATGTAATCTTTGGTCCACAATCCAGGAGATCCCCGAGGATATTGAGACCGAAATCCCACGAACCGTTGTGCACGCTTTGACAACTTCTGCACCGTCTCCAGCTTGATTATGAATGGATGTGCTTCAGCTGGAGTCAAGAAACTCGGGATGACTGTAAGCTGTGTGCATTTCCTTTCCGTCTCGGTTTTATTCTCGCCCATGGCATGTATCACTTTCCCACCTATGAGTAGACAATCTCCTGTTTTCATCTCGGCTGGAATAGTTTGCTCCATATTTCCACGCTGATCAAATGGCCATTTATTACTACCTGGGATGAGACGTGTCGCGCCATTATCAGCCGTGAAATCGGAAAAGGCGAAGAGAAAGTTGATCTGGGGTTCTGTGCCCTCGGGTCCAAGTTGGGCGTACGGCGGATAGGATGTCAGATCCCGATGTAAGACTTGTGCCGGCTGGGGTCCTGACGCATTCAGCGTTGTGGCTGCCGAGAGCCAGTAGTCTCCATTATGCCCACCCTCACTAAAGCACCTCTTGCAAATGGAGTGTATAAAGTCATTCTCAAGAATTTTCTCCCGAAAAGTGGCGCTGTGATTGATGATATCTCCTGCACGCTTGGTTTTGGTGCCATGGAAGGCAGCGAGATCAGCATGCGGGACTAATGAGCCTCGTTGGACCGAGTTAAGGCGCGACTCAAGTTCTGTTGTTATCTGGTTCGCTTCCGCGACAGTAAGGATATTCTTTAAAATGACGCCGCCACTTTCTTTCCAGTGCTTAAAAACTTCATCTAATGGAGTGTCAACTGTCACTTCGGCAAGCTTGAGTCCATTAGGGACTGCGACTTGGGGGGTGTCTATTGGGATACGCCACATTTTGATGATGAACACAATAACCAATTATCCTAAGCTTGTTCAATATCGTTAGCTATCCGACGAGAACTCTGACTATACCATTGCTTATCTATACTTATTCCCAACAGTACTCAGCACACGATTATTCAGAAGTTTTCGTTCAGGGATTGAGGCCGCCAGATTCGGATCCCGAGCCCCGTAGCAACTGTGAGCTACCCGGGTATGCGGGTTCCGACCGCTAGCTGGGTGCCAGAGGCGGTTCAGCACCTTCGGTACACTCTCTCCATCATTTCTTAGGATAGGGCTCCAGAGAGTGTGTGGAATGATATGCTCAGTGCGTCTGACGGGCAATCATTGACGGGCCTTAAAGGTCAGCAGTTTCTTGCAGACATTATTTCGAGACCACTTTGACTTTCCGACTCAAGCATCTCGGGCGAAGATATGGCTAGTCCTTGACCAACTTCGTCAGTGTAATAACGCGCTTTCTTCAAAGCTGCCCACTCTTCAGCATAGGCGGATTCTATCAAGCGTCACGATTGAGCGTGCCTTTGGACAACCGGAGGTTGTCAACAACAACCAAATGTCGAATCATCACTTTCTCTTGCAAGGCTGATAGTAGTCAGTATTAACTATTAAGGAAAAATTTTCGCCTTTGTCGTTGTAGCGTGCCTTTGCACACTATCTACGTTCGATAACGTCAAAGGGTGTAATGTGTACGGAGTATTGATTGTTCATTCTCCTATTCCAGCCAACTTTCCTGTTTCCATCAAGCAGTTACACGTCGCGTCGTAGCTTATGTAAGCTAGGGCTAGTTACTATCCGTCCGCCATGACGTCCAACTTTGTTCCTGCGCGCCAACATCATCCCCGGCCCCAACCTCCATCGTTCAGTAAAACTACGTGCTAACCCGACGGGACGCGGTTCGTCAGGCCACTCGCCTTCGCTGTACCAGCTCTATAATAGTTATGGCTTTGCATCGGCATCAGTCGTCTTTAGAAAGGGTATTGGACTTCTCCGCCCCCTTTTCACTAAATTCCCAACAGCGTCAAAGAGCAACAACACTTCTCAGAAGCCTCGTCCAGCTCTACGGCGTCGAGCAGACTATCCGCCGCCGCTTTAAACCGGCGTCACTTATCCAGCTCACATTCGAACATATTAAAGCTCAAGATGCATTCCTCTCATTCTATTTCTCATTCCTTTATGAGAACCTATGCCCAGGTGTAACGGATTCGACGGAGCCAGACATTACGGTTGCCCTGTCCTTCTTCGACGATTTTTCTACCTGGGATCAGAATCAAAAGGAGGACGTCAATCGTGCTTCTGAAAAATTTGCTGAATACATCGTCGAGAATTTTCTTCTCCCACGTATGTCCCCGTACTTCCTGATCAGCAGAATCACAAATTAATTCGGCATTTTTAGTGAGAGCTTCGTCGGCGAAGACCCCGCAACCAACGCCCTCGTCACTGTCCTTGACACAGCCGTCCACGCCTACCGGCACGACGCAACGTATATCTATCCTGCGACAAAATTGCCTCGTGCGTGATCATCATCGATGCGTAGTTTCTCGGAAGTTTGATAAAAGCGAAGCTAGCAGGCGGTTGGAGCAGGATGGTGATGATTTCAAGGATGATGACGGAAATCCATTGAAGAATAAGCGAAACGACGAGTTCGGGTACCTGCAAGTTGCCCATATTTTGCCGCACTGCCTAACAGCGGTTGCATCTCAGAACACTGAGCTAGTACGTCTGCTAGAATGCACTCCGTGCCTTCTGCTATACTGACACAACGTTGTAGAGTGACTCGAAGAAGAATGTACTCCGGATTTTAGACATGTTTGACCCCGGCATTATTCACCTTATTGACGGCCCAAAAATTGACAGCCCATTGAACGCTCTTACACTGACATATGATCACCATCGGGAGTTTGGTGAATTCAAGATATACTTCGAACCAACAAGCACCCAGTATCAATATAGAATTGACTCAACGGAGCAAAACCCCTCTCTACGCGATCCGCTATTCCCAGTCACCCGTACGCTGTTACTTAGCCCCAGTCGGACTATTGACCCGCCATCAGCTCAACTCCTCGGTGTCCATCGAGCCATTGCAAAGATCATGAATCTTAGCGGCGCAGGTGAATACATAGAGGAAGTACTCCGAGATTTGGAGGAGATTAATGTAAGGGCTGATGGATCAACAAACTTAGGACGTGTGATAAATTTGCGGCTTGGTGGCTGGCTTAACTCATTAACTGTATCTTAATTACATACCTATCTCTGGTATCTTATCCTAGGCAACCAATGTCTCTTTAACCGTCAGACCCACATGCCACCCCGGAATATCATTTTCACTGCATAGCCGGGAAATCCGCCGAGACGAAATACCTAGCCTTCGTTATTTTCCGTGGCAGTCCTGTAAACCTCGTTCGCCGCATATTGACCGAGAATGTCGAGTGATCCAATACTCATCATTTCCAGTATAGGAAGGTCGAAAGAGAAAATCTGCTTGATCCAAGCACGCAACTCGAGAGCCACCAGAGAGTCAAGGCCAAGGTCGAGCAAGGGCGAGCTTGTATTAATCTCGTCCTGGGGTTTGAGCAGTAAGTCGAAGAGTTTTTTACCGATTTCGACGGCAAAAAGCTTTGCTGCTTCCGACGATTTGAGAATGGAAGGATCCGCTTGAGCACTGCTCAAGTAGGACTTGAGGATATCTGTGGAGGCTGTGGCTGTGCTGATCGTTGAGTTATTATGATATGAGGCCATACGGCGGTCTCGCTTCCAGATCACATAGTTGCTGGGATCGTGCAGCGGGATGAGCAATGCAAGGCCGACAAGAAATGTGTTTTTGTGGACGAAGCACGAAGCGTTTTTCGAAGCCGTTGCAAGGACTTCCTCAGCGGCATGACCCGGCTTGTTGTGAACTAGCATGCATATTGCCATCGCGTCTATGACCTCCTGCTCCAGAACTGGCTTGAAGCCGCTCCTTGACATTTTACCCATCATTCCTTTGTGCTCTGAAATCCACCCAACGTCTTCGACGGCCCCCATATCAACAACGGAGGCCGCAAGGCCGAGACCGTTACGGTACTGTGCAAACGCATCTAGGAAGCTGTTTCCACTGGCGTAGTTGGCCTGTCCTGCTTGTCCAACAATGCCCGACACCGAGCTGAACATCACAAAGAAGTCTAGATCGATGCCTGCAGCTAGAGAAGCGTTGTGCAGATTCCACGTCCCCTGGACTTTGGGTGCTGTCGACGCATTCCACTCGTCAAAACTCATCTTTGTGAAGTTTTCGTTAGCGACCACCATAGACATCTGCACAATACCTTTCATGGGGTATGTCGCTGCAGCAATGGCTCTGTGTACATCCTCGAGCTTCGTGGTATCTCCGCTCACAAGTTTAACGGCACAACCCATGCTCTGGAGTTCGCGGACAAAATCGTCATCTTTACTGGTACGCCCAGCACTGCGGGATAGATAGATAAGCTCGCGGACGCCGTGGTCGACCATCCAGGTAGACACGGCTCGACCTATACCTCCAAGGCCCCCAACCATTAAGTAAGAGGATTCTTCATCAAAGGCGATCTTCAATGCTCTCTTGGTGGTTTCGAATTCAAGTTCAACTTCCTCGGACTGCTTCATCGAAACACCGACACGTCCAATGTGCTGGCCCTTTTCCATGAATCGAAACGCGTCTTGCGTCTGGGATGCTGGGAATATAGTGGTGGGCAGAGGGGAGATGTGTCCCTTGTTATAAAATTCCAGTATGGAAAATATCAAGGCCCTGGCTATATGAATCCTTTTCCACAGCCCGTCAATGTCGACACAACAATAGCTGCGGTTCGCTAAGAAGGGTTTCATATCGAGTTTGCCATCACCGATTAAATCCCGCTTCCCTATTTCCAACATTGTTCCAAATTCAGCAACACAGCTCCATGTAGCGTGTAAGAGTTCGCCTGAGAGGGAATTGAGAATAAAGTCCACGCCACGACCTTCCGTTTCACGCATGACACCATCCACGAATGTTTTGTCTCGGGAATTGAAGATTCGGTTCCGTGGGATGTGATAGTTTTCCATCAAATACTCAACCTTCTTCTCACTTCCAACTGTGGCATATACTTCAGCCTCGAGCATTTGGGCAACTTGGATAGCTGCCAGACCGACTCCACCACATGCGCTATGTATTAGGACGGACTATGCAATTCGAATTAATCAGTGATTTTCCTTTGATTATGACGCCAATAAACTCAGGTCTTCGTGCTTCCTACCTGGCCTTTGCTAACACGTCCGACATTGATCATAGAGTGGATTGCTGTGAAATATGGAATAAGCATTGTTCCCGCTTGATTGAAGCTGAGGCTATCTGGAATTCGCACGCAAACAGCCGCCAGGGTCGTTGTGTACGTGGAGAAGGCGTCTTTTCTGCAAAAGCAAACAACACGATCCCCAATTTGAAGGTCATTAGGGCTAACATCTGTTCCCACACGAGTGACGATTCCAGCGGCCTCGATGCCGAAGAGACGGACCGGAAGTTCAACAATACCCAGTGCAACCAAAACATCCTACGTACGGCTTGTTAGTACACATTATTGAAAATGTGGCGTTAGAACTTACCCTAAAGTTCAAACCAGCTGAATATACCTGGATCTCTACTTCGTCGCTTTCAAGGGTTTTCCGTTCATGACGTGCGTAATACAGACTGTTGACCCGCCCGGGTGTACGAACATTTAGTGTAGCCATCTCATTCGCTCCCTCTGCAACCAAGAGTTCATCCGTCAGGACGAAAGGATGAAAACGTGCGACTTGGACTCGTTCGTTAAAAATAGCCCATTCGAAGTCTGGATTGAGCTCTTCGTCCCCATTCCGTGCTTGAAACTTAGCTAGGACCTGAAGAAGCTGGTTAATGGAATTGTTACTCTCAAAGCTGTCGACCTGACAGGTCGCTAAATCGGCCAGCTGCTCTGTACGTATTGTCCTGGAAAGGCCGAGAATTTGTGCATATCGCGGATCCTTACAGCCAATGTCAATGAGATGAGTCACCCACAACATTCCTGCATCGCGGTCTTGTAAACCGAGGAGGAAGGTCTTGAATAACAGAAAATGTGCTTCCTTGATGTCGTGGAAAAAGGGGTTCTCAACGTCCAGGAGTGAAATTACATCCTGTCCTGCTGGCGGAATATCGCCTAATTTGCACCTGGTCACTTGATAGCCCTCCTTGTCAAGCTGGTCCAAGATTTGAGTGACAGCAGGTCCTTCATCTTCAAGAAGAGCTGTGATCTTTTTCGTGGGCGTCGAGCAGGTCCGCCTTACGACCATTGTGGCCGTAAGCTGATGAGGTTCGTCTGCATCCAGGGTTACGGCCTCAATATTGCCAAATTCTGCAGCACTGAGTTTTGAAATCCACCCTTCTTTGCCCAAACGAAGTGTCCCAGCCGGCTCGTTAGCAACATTTGACCACCAGGTTGGGAGTAATCCAAGCACATAATTGACCCATTTTGATGAGGGACAAAGTTCTTGCAGAAACAATCTGCCATCGGGGCGTAGGAGCTTTTTGATGTTGGCCAGGCTCCCTATAACATCTTCTGCCTCGTGAAGAGCGTTGACGGCTATAATGAGATCATATCCCACTTCTTCAAATCCCTGGTCGAAGGGATCCTTGCTTATATCGAAGCTCGCAAATTCCATATTTGGAAATAGCTTCTCTTGAGTCGTTTTCACAACATACCCAGGGCTAGTTATGGTGTACTTGGAGCAGAGAATCTCACCATCGGGACGAGTCAATTCGTCGACAATAGAATGATGCAGCGACACACCCTTTCCGGCTCCAATCTCTAAAATTCGGAGGTTGGGCTTGGAATGACTCAGATGCCGAATAAATTCCGTTCGGTCTAGTTGTCCGATAAATTCATAGACAGGTATGAGCATTCCATCTGAGAAACCACTCCCGAAGCTCTCCCCAGAGAGGAAAGAATCCATATTTGTGCAAATCTGGCGGATGATACTGGCGACTGGAGCTGCGGCTGTGTCCGCTAGCCGACTAATTATACCTTCGATTCGGGCAGAGATAGCCTCATTGTCAAGGCCTGTCCAAGTCCAGGGTAACCTGGTAACTATTGAAGTGGATTGAGCCTGGACCCAAGCCACGTATTTCGATAAATGGGGCAGCATAGGGCTTCTTGGAGATTCGGAAAAGCTCTGTTGGGACAATAGCAAGCATATGTCCCCAAGCTCTTCCAGTAGGCATAGGTGGTCCGTACGGCCGGCGGGTGCGTGTATGAGCTCATTCATATCCAAGAAATCGATGTCAGGCCTCCATTCACACCTCGATGCTGCGTGTGCGTCTGGAAGCTCGGATGCACCGGCGCCATCTGCGAGTGACATTCGAATGCCGATGGCTTCCACAACCGTCATGCCACCAGATGTGCAACGACCATCCCCAATGACCGAAAAATTACTGGATAGCTTAGCTGAAACGCTAGTGACTACATCCGTCATGCACCTGTTGACACTAATTTTATCGATGCTGGTTGGGAGCCAGGTCTTAGTTTTGCGCGCATATCCATTAACTGCCGCAGCTCCAAGAATTTGGAGGGTCCCGTCAAGCACAGTAGGGTGGATGTGGTAGTTAGCCTCATCTCCTTGCCTTCCATTAACAATGTTACCCACTGCCTGTTGATGTGAAGTCGAAGTCGAAGTCGTTATCGTGTCGAGTGTCTGGAATGACCCTCCCAGCTCCAGGCCACCCTTGCTCATTTTCTCGTACCATTTTCTAACGTTGAGCTTTCGGGGTAGGGTATCAGGGTTCTGAGCCTGCCCGAGCGCTGTTGAAAGAGCAGAGACTTCTCCAGTGCAATGCTTTGTCCAGTTACGCCCGTTATAAGCTGTGACTGTAAACTCCCACCATGCGCTATTCAAGGAGTTCGTCAGGCGGTGGGGGCGAAAAGAGGCCATTATTTCCGTCGGCTTTCCTTCGTTTAGCACTAGAGCTGTGCTGACAAGGATGTTTCGAACACTGAATCCCTCCTCGATATCGGTCAGTTGCCTGATGGCCTCTCCAGCCAGGGCAATGTAGCCACAGAATGGGAAAACAATGTTTTCTGCAACCCTGTGGTCACGGATCCATGGTGTGTTTGTGACATGGAATAAGTTACGCCACACAGGCTCACTATCACTACTTTCAGCTACCCTAGCACCAAGTAAATTATGGTATGGGTGTTTGCGATTGCGCCATTCCTTGCTCAGGCGCGTTTCGTACCAGTAACT